TGGGTCCGTACAGAGTTTCAGCTGTAGAAAACATGTGCATCTTCATATTATCTTACAACATGGAAACATGTGCATCTTCATATTAACTTACAACATGGAAACATGTGCATCTTCATATTAACTTACAACATGGAAACATGTGCATCTTCATATTAACTTACAACATGGAAACATGTACATCTTCATATTAACTTACAACATGGAAACATGTGCATCTTCATATTAACTTACAACATGGAAACATGTGCATTCATATTAACTTACAACATGGAAACATGTGCATCTTCATATTAACTTACAACATGGAAACATGTGCATCTTCATATTAACTTACAACATGGAAACATGTGCATCTTCATATTAACTTACAACATGGAAACATGTGCATCTTCATATTAACTTACAACATGGAAACATGTGCATCTTCATATTAACTTACAACATGGAAACATGTGCATCTTCATATTAACTTACAACATGGAAACATGTGCATCTTCATATTAACTTACAACATGGAAACATGTGCATCTTCATATTAACTTACAACATGGAAACATGTGCATCTTCATATTAACTTACAACATGGAAACATGTGCATCTTCATATTAACTTACAACATGGAAACATGTGCATCTTCATATTAACTTACAACATGGAAACATGTGCATCTTCATATTAACTTACAACATGGAAACATGTGCATCTTCATATTAACTTACAACATGGAAACATGTGCATCTTCATATTAACTTACAACATGGAAACATGTGCATCTTCATATTAATGTGCATCTTATATTAACTTAACATGGAAACATGTGCATCTTCATATTAACTTAGAACATGGAAACATGTGCATCTTCATATTAACTTACAACATGGAAACATGTGCATCTTCATATTAACTTACAACATGGAAACATGTGCATCTTCATATTAACTTACAACATGGAAACATGTGCATCTTCATATTAACTTACAACATGGAAACATGTGCATCTTCATATTAACTTACAACATGGAAACATGTGCATCTTCATATTAACTTACAACATGGAAACATGTGCATCTTCATATTAACTTACAACATGGAAACATGTGCATCTTCATATTAACTTACAACATGGAAACATGGAAACATGTGCATCTTCATATTAACTTACAACATGGAAACATGTGCATCTTCATATTAACTTACAACATGGAAACATGTGCATCTTCATATTAACTTACAACATGGAAACATGTGCATCTTCATATTAACTTACAACATGGAAACATGTGCATCATATTAACTTACAACATGGAAACATGTGCATCTTCATATTAACTTACAACATGGAAACATGTGCATCTTCATATTAACTTACAACATGGAAACATGTGCATCTTCATATTAACTTACAACATGGAAACATGTGCATCTTCATATTAACTTACAACATGGAAACATGTGCATCTTCATATTAACTTACAACATGGAAACATGTGCATCTTCATATTAACTTACAACATGGAAACATGTGCATCTTATTAACTTACAACATGGAAACATGTGCATCTTCATATTAACTTACAACATGGAAACATGTGAATATTAACTTACAACATGGAAACATGTGCATCTTCATATTAACTTACAACATGGAAACATGTGCATCTTCATATTAACTTATGGAAACATTAACTTACAACATGGAAACATGTGCATCTTCATATTAACTTACAACATGGAAACATGTGCATCTTCATATTAACTTACAAAACATGTGAAATTAACTTATGGAAACATGCATCTTCATATTAACTTACAACATGGAAACATGTGCATCTTCATATTAACTTAAAACATGGAAACATGTGCATCTTAATATTAAATTACAACATTGTGCATCTTAATATTAACTTACAACATGGAAACATGTGCATCTTCATATTAACTTACAACATGGAAACATGTGCATCTTCATATTAACTTACAACATGGAAACATGTGCATCTTCATATTAACTTACAACATGGAAACATGTGCATCTTCATATTAACTTACAACATGGAAACATGTGCATCTTCATATTAACTTACAACATGGAAACATGTGCATCTTCATATTAACTTACAACTTACAACATGGAAACATGTGCATCTTCATATTAACTTACAACATGGAAACATGTGCATCTTCATATTAACTTACAACATGGAAACATGTGCATCTTCATATTAACTTACAACATGGAAACATGTGCATCTTCATATTAACTTACAACATGGAAACATGTGCATCTTCATATTAACTTACAACATGGAAATTTACAACCAGTAAATAATCTCACAGATAAAAAAAATTTCTCCAAGTATCAACAACTAATAAGTATGAGTATGTTGGTTTAAAGTGGATACCGAGAAAGACACAGAACCCTTTAAAAATAAACAAATAATGCGGAGACACAACTCCTGGAGGAGGTTCAAATCAGTGTATTCATCTTTATCTACTGTGCTGGCAGCCGCCATCTGTCAGCCAACTGATTTAAAATCAGCACATGCCTCGAATGTAATAAATATGAATTATGTTGTAAAGCATGGTTATTGATAAAATATTTGTGGAAGATTCTATGATCAGGTGTCTTTTTCTACTATATCATTATATCATTTCCTATATTTGAATCTTTTCACCTTAAATCTTTAAAAAAAACACATAATTTTCTTTATCATTTTAATTTTTTTATGGACCAGGTCTAAATCAAAATGTTTCTTCTGGACAGCAATATTGTAAATAAAGATTGCCACAGTTTAATTTATTCTCCAACAAACATACAGAAAGACTTTCCTTTCCATTATTACATATTTACCATCTAGTGGGTCGCCTACTCTAAGCTGTCCATATGCTTTCACCAATCTCCCCACTACCTCGTCGTGTACACTCTCATGTAACATCTGGAACAGCAACATAAAGAAACTCTCTCAGGTAATATTCTCATCAATAAAAGGAACAAAATCAGCAATGAGACGTCTTGACAATGTTGTTTTTGAAATACACATGGTCCTACTAATGTTTTGATGTAAAGAGAGCTAAACCAGAAATCTTTTAAAACCTCATACTGCTGATTTTTGTCCTTAAAAATCTGAATATATTTTTTATAACTCCTTTACAAGAATTTTAAGCTCAACCAGGACACAGTATAAAAGAATCCCTCTGAACACAAAGCAGAAACAATATTTAGCTTGATATTTGGATAAGACCATTTCTTTTGAAATAAGTCACTACAGGATTTATACGGAAGTCAGCATCAGTAGCATGTATTCTATATACAAGCCCTATCTGCCTCTTTGCAGGAGGCACTGTACTGTAAACATACATATTTTAGTGATTACCTTACATTACCACTTTCATGCTGAACATTTTGCATTAAAGTAAACTGAATTCATTGCAGTTTCTGTATGTTGATTATATACCAACTTTTGTGGACATGCTAATTCATCATTGTGCTAATTTGCCACACATGGTAATAATGCACCAAAATTGAACTGTGCCACATTTAGTATGTTTACAGTATCAACTGAAATTTCTTTGGCATAAAGGGAAACTGTCATGATGTATGGACTGGAGGTCAGATTGAACAAATAATTCTTAATAAATTGGACTGGTTGTAACACTACTGAGTGTGTCACTACTTAAATCAGACTTCAATTTCAGATCTTGGAATATCAAAACTCACCAGTCGTCTGGTAGTCGTACATCTTTGACCAGCTGTCCCAGCACAAGCAAACAAGGCTGAGCGTACAACCATCTCTATATCAGCATCCTCGTTCACTGTAAAACAAATCCATTAGTAAACAAGTTTGTACAGAAAACCTCAACGGAATACTAACATTTACCATTGTTAAATCTAAATCATTTCTTTTGTCTTGAACAAGTAGTCATGTCAATAATAATTCTATTTTAAATGAAAAATCTATACTGTGTGTTTGAAATGATCCTTTGTCAGTGGCTAATTACCATAGCCCGGTCTGTGACTCTTACAAAAATAGGTGAAAATACAGAGTCTAAGATGTCAATTTCAGTCCTGAGACAATATTGATTGAAAAACAGACCTCAGTTCCAAACCTTATGCTGTAACTCAATCATTACATGTCATGGCATTGAAAGGTTCTGGTACAACAAAGACTGATTTGTCACAGCAATATTTGTAAGCAGAAAATGCAACTCAAAGTAAAACATGGAACATCAGGGAACAAAATAAAGCTAATTTTGATATCGTACTTTCTTGGTTATAAATCACAGCTTTTCTTCTCTGCGGTCTGATGTGCAGCTTATATACCAGTGCGGTTTAAATGTGGTAGTTAAGAGACATTGGTACATAAAACACTTACCTATCAATGCATTGTTACCTCCCAGCTCTAAGAGAAACTTTCCTGACAGAGAAACAGAAAATATTTCATCAGTCCAGATTCTGCTGAAATACAGTTATTTCATTTATCACCATTTATTTTATTACAATTCAAAACAATATAGAATGAATTTTCTTTGGCATATGAATGTATATATGTATATACATTAAATGATAATCAAGTTAACTGTCAGAATGAGATGATTTTACATTATTAAGTCTTTCATCACAAACATCAAAATAAGGATATATTTGTACCGAATCGTTCCTGCACCATCATAGACACTTTGTGGCCAACCTGAAACACACAAACATGTTCACTACAAAATCTAACCTGAATCACACAAGCATGTTCACAGGGTTTTCCATAATATTGTTAGTAGTAGGCTGTGTAGTGAAAGTAGGAGGCTGGCCTGCCGTGTACGTGTAGTCATGTACGGAACATTATTACAGAACTGGATTGGTGTAGGTGGCCAAATGATCAAAGTAGCCGGTCAAATTGGCCGGCGACCGGCTCTTATGGAAAACCCTGTGTTCACCATAAAATCTAACCTGAATCACACAAACATGTTCACCATAAAATCTAACCTGAATCACACAAACATGTTCACCATAAAATCTAACCTACAAAACCTTAGATTAATCGTAAGTAAAATTAACTTATCTGTATTGCTTGTCTATTCTTTTTCATCAAACCAATATTTCCATTTAGTAAACAGATTTTTACTTTTTGATCAAATCAATAGTTCTGTTGTTACTTTCTAACATTTCTATTTTCAGAACTTTTATGTGATGAAATAAGACCTTGAAAAACTTCATACCTTGAAAGTAAAATTTATGGAGAAATTCTTTGTACATTTCATATATTTTGTGAAAATGACACCCTTTCCCAATTTCAAGCTTTTGGTAAAACAGTAAAATGTGAACTGTCAGACGAAAAGTTTTAAACCAGATATTTTTTCAGTACTGTCTCACAGAAATACCACACAACACACCGAATGTCACTATTTTCACATTTTACAGTACCATTTCGCTAACATGTCACATCATGCATGAAAGTGTTCTGCAATGTCACTTTTGTCATACATTTAAAATACGGTCTCACTGAAATATCATACTATCATACTATTGTCACATTTTACAATACCATTTCACTTCAATATCATATCACACTCTAAAATGTACTGAAATGTCAATATTGTCATAAATTTTACAGTATTCTCTCACGAAATAACACAGGACAGACAAAAGTATACTAAACTGTTCATATTGCCATACATTTTACATTTCACTGAAATATCACACCACTTATAAGTGTAATGAAATGTTAATATTGTCATACAATTTACAGTTCCATCTCCCTGAAATATCAAACCACAGACAAATGTCACATTATACAGTACTGTCTCACTAAATATTTTCACATCACTGACAACGGGCCTTTAATGTTAATACTGTCACCCATTTTACAGTACCATCTCACTGAAACATCACCCCACTGACAAAAATGTACTAAAATGTCAGCAGAGTCATGCATTACAAACACATTACAATGTTATACCACAAAAAATCTACCTCTATGTACAATAACAAGTCATTCAACCTGAGACTTAACTTTGCGTATCCTAAATCATTTCCTTCCTACTCTCTACAACTAAACCTTCAATGGCACTTTCCTCAGGTAAGCACATTAAGTACTTTAACATTAATTGTATTACACCTGTAGCTAAATTCTCACATCTAAACCAATACTGAGTAAGTTATCCTTACTGGAGTACTACCGGTGAATGACAGCAGGTTTACTCTGGTATCCTGGGCCATCAGCGTTCTGTGGAGAAGATAAATATGAAATTATTTTTAAGTCTTAGTTTTCTTTATTGAAGATTTCTAACTTATCCAATCCCTGGTGTTCTGTCTCAATATTTCAGCAACAACAACATCAATGGGTGTGTATAGTAATAAAGTATTAATTAAAATAATTAATTTGTGATAAGACACTAAGATAATGAACCTCCTATAAATGTTTTGTTTACATATGCAGTTTATATTGAGATACACTATAATTGTAACTCTGGTAAACACTAGTCGCAATATAACGCTCAGCTAGAGAGAACTTCTCTTTAGCTCGATCAGTTGAGCATCAGACGAGCACACCAGAGGTCCCGGGTTCAATTCCTAGCTAAGGCATTAAATAAATTATGACCTCTGTTACATAATCAATGATATCAATGACAATGACACCCCCCCTCCCCTTAAGGACAACGTAACCTTGTCTCATTTTGAACAATAGTCACAGCCTAAATGCCTAAACGCAAAATATGAATGTAACCCTGTAACTCTAACTCACGTTGAACAATGCATACAGCTTGAGTCAGACCCCAAAAAGGGAATGTAATCATGCCTCACTTTGAACAAAAGCTACATCCAATGGTGAATGTAATCCTGTCTGACAATGAAAAATAGCTATATTCTGACACCTGGAAGGTCAATGTAAACCTCCCTCACCTAAAACAATAGTTCTAGCATGACCCCAAATGTTTCATGCACCTCTACTTCTCTTTGAACGATCACTCTTGCATGACCCCAAAAGGTCAATACACTTCTGCCTCACTTGGAATTTTTCTGTTAATCCTCAGCACTAACTTCAGAAAAACTCAGATTTCTGAATAAAACAACACAATAAAAGTCAACTTCTTCCTGTTGAGCATCACTTTTAGCTCACATTAAATGTTAACATGTGATAACAATCTAATAATCAGTAAAACAGATATTTGAGACAGTTTCTATAATTATGATTAACATATATATCAGGGGTAATATATGCACATTTAAGAATACAGAAGGGTTACCCTCTAAACATACTAACCCGATGTCAGCACCACCTTGAACTAAGGAACAAATGGCACCTGGTAGATTATTTGCTTCCAATACTGATGATAAAATTCTGAAAAGAAAATACAAACAACAGCTTTATAGTTGACAAATTCTACCACGAAAAGAAAAACCATTTAATTCCTGCTTAAAATTGTTTTCAAAAATACTCAAGTGAGTTCAACAAGAAATCTATTACCAATGCATTAGTTACTTAAGCTTCTTGGCCTTCTCAGATCAGAAATATGACAGATATAAAGCAGATACATACAATTATAACAGTTTCCTGTTAGGTCAAAGTTTAGACCAAAAGTTAGTGATCACGATAGAAGCATGTTGACTAATTTTATACTAACTTTGTAATGGCTACACTGACTAAAGGTGTTGTAGGAGCTCCTTTCCTGTTCAACAAAAATAAGAGAAAGCGAAATCAAATGATTACCTTATTTTTTTGGTAATTTAAAAATCTGGAATAAACTATTATTATTAACCAAACTACACATTTATACAAGATGTGAGTAAAAAATTTTAAGTATAAAAAAATAATTTTGATAATTTTATTGTTACAAAGGGAGAAAAACAGGCTGGCACCAGCTACCACAACTTAGCCCTCTTCTATTGAGTATTACCATAGCATCACATTCCCACAGACAAGTGCTATAGAGGAATTCCAGCCATACACAGCAACAGGAAAGTTGTATGCAGTGATGGCACCGACCACTCCCAGGGGGTTCCACTGCTCCATCAACAAGTGACTAGGACCTTAAACACAACACTTCCAAAACTAAGTTATCATATTTCAGAGTTTCTTGAAATTAACTTCCTTTAACAAAATGTTTCTTTTCTTCCCTCTAAAGATGGATAGTTAAAACTTCTTTTTTAAAAGTTTTTGTCATATATTTGTATGATTATAAATAATACTTAAATATTCACTCTGTTTTCAAGGAACCTATACCTTTTGATAATATTCACCCTCAGCTTTACTTAATTGTTACTACTTTCAAAACTACAAGAAATATTTTTAGTAATTTTCATAATGTTGGTAACTTCTGGATACTACTAGTGTTCTGAAGATAAATGTTTATGTGTGAACTGTTTAGGCTTCTGGTACCAGGTATTACGAGTCGAGCTAAGATCTAAAACTACAAATGCATCAGAAAGTCAATGTTCTGGTACATGAACATGGTTATTGTGCTGTTTCCTAACTCTTCTGTATTCTAGCAGTCCACACAAAATGTGATATTTTTTACAGGACATTCGGTCTGGTGAAGGGCAAAAGTTTACCGGACCAGACTCACTTTCACCAGATATTCCGGTCTGGTAAAGTTAAAAATTTTACAAGACCAAAAACGTCTCGGTGCAAATTATTATATTTATTATTAAAAGATGAGAAAAGACAAGTAGATTAAATTTCCTGTAATTTTAATCATTGATTAAGACGTGCAATATCTATTAAAATAAAAACAGATACATCTCTATATTTTAGTGTTCCGCTCCATATCTTACTCTAACCACTGCCGATTTTCTTTCCATTTTTTACTTATTTTGCGAGGAGCTCGTTTGTACTCATACTTCCTGCTAGCTTCAAGCTTCTTTATCGCTCTTTCTGTCTCCGTTATTTGAGGTTTAATTGTCTACCAGGCACCGCGCCTTCAATAAATCGCAACATTTTTGGATACCAAGTCATGATCACAAGTATGCTTAAACACTTGTCTAAAATTAACCGAGTCAAACGCTTGTTTGATAAAGGTCGGGAGGCGATTAAGTAGAAAATCTGTACCAGACATTCGGTCCGGACTTGTGCAAATCTTTACCGGACCGACGCAAATTTTACCAGACATGTCCAACGGACCGGCAGCATTTCGCATGGACTGTTCTAGTATTATTTTCATTTGAATCAATTAACTTTTATTTACTAATGTTACATACCAACAATTTCATTTTCTTTGAGTAAACTCATGTTATGATTTTTCATTCGCTCATACATTCCCAAATTCCCTCATATTCTTCTAGGTAGTGTTAAGTAAAATAACATGTACCAAAACTTACGCTCAGATGGAAAGACATGACCTGCAAACATCCTCGAAAGTCCCACAGCATAATCAATGATGTCAATGTATTCCTGTACCTCACCCTCTCCTTCTGCCAAGATCTTGCCCACCTCAAGGGCTTCCTACAAGGTCAAAGAGTGCAATTCATAATTTACTGTCAATGTCAAGTCTTTTGTTTAAAAAATCAAAGTCCATTACATTTTGTACAATTGCAAGCTAACAGACTACCATCATAAAACTAAAAATTACATTCAAGTGAAAATTTACAATATAAACTAGTTTTTATGTGGTTTTTTTTTGTCTTGATGGCTGTATGTTCCCCTGCATTTGTAGTTTGAGGCTGAATACAAAAGAAATGCTATATATAATATGTCCTTGATATAAAATTTAATACAAGTCACATGAACTTTTATTGACAAAAAAATACCCATACTATTGATAATTTATCGCAGTCACAGAAAGATTCATGATAACAATAAGTCAAATCAATTTCACTGTACAATTTATATAGATATAAAACCAGCGGGATGTATTGGGTGACCTACCAACTTTCCCAGTGCATTCTTGTGTTTCCGCAGAGCTTCTCCCATCTGTCTAACAATTTCTCCTCTCTGTGGTGCTGGTACCTGTTAACAAGGAGATTATAACCAGTAAATTATTGACACTGAAAATCTGTGACAAAAGACTTTAGAAAGTACTGTTCACTGAGTATTAACTAGTCACACTAGGTCTTTGTTGAAGCATCTGTCGGCACATTAATTAAAATTAAACTCCTCATGAATATAACTATCTATAAAGTATTCCTTTTCTTTTTAAGTGGAGCTTGTGACAAACCCTTCGGTTGATAAAAGTACATATGCTGTCTTTAAGAACAACATAGTAGGAAAAGGAAAGTTGAAAACGAAGCACTGAGCCAAGCCACAATAACAACAACCTAACTGTAGTTTGCTTAGTATCGTTATTGAAATCAGAGGTCCCAGAGGTTCTTTTAAAACTTGTAGGAGCTTCAAAAATAAAAATTTATTTTAAAAAACAAATTTCTGTCCCAAATAACAAAATAGAAAGGAATTAACAAACAGGTTAAGATTAACAAAGTCAAGTATGTGGAATGCCAGAAATCTTCCAAACAACAGTATTCAACACAATTCATCAAAAAGTATTATGTACACTTACATCAGCCCATACATTCCACGCTTCCCTAGAGGCTTGAATAGCTTTCTCATAGTCAGCTGGGCTAGCCTGTAAGTAAATCATTGATGATTTTATAATGACCAAAACTGACTAAATAACACATATATCCTTAATAACATTCAAATAATGCACAACAAAATGTATTGATCGTGTTTCATTAAAAATAAAGAGATTCTGTTCACGTTCAGCATCAAGTACAGTTAAAATCTGTCAAAATTAGTTATCTTCATAAAAGGTTTAAAAAAGGTGTCATCAAATTTGTTAAAAGTATTAAATTCCCTAATGCCAAATCTCACCCCGGAGCTCAGCTCCTTGTGACCTTAATGCGAGAGCAAATAATGCCCGACACACAACAGCAAGTGAAAAAGCATCAAGTTTAAAGTATTTGTAAAACACACATTTGGAAAATCAGATGCAAATCTTTTTACTGAAATAAAACAGATCACATTCAGTGTCACTTAGCAACTGCTTGATATTTGGCTTTAACATTCCAGCTTTTTTTTGTATTCAAGGTTTGAAAAGCTTTATCACCCTATAGGTAAATATTGATGATTATCAAACAATAACGTTATTTCTACTATCAATTCATTCTGAAGATAATTACACTTGTACTGCATACCACAGAAATCAAGGTACAAAGCAATCCAATCACATGCATTTGGCTTAGTGTGATAGCATATGGTTGATAATGCTACCATAGTAATAAGGCTAATCACCAAGCTGATTGAGGCTGCATTATCACAACTGCTGGTGTATATATCAGTGTACACTGTGTACTTGATTACTTTGTTAAAATTGTTTAATGTGTACATTGTGACGATTGCCAAAATAACCTGTGAACAGGTATTCATGATCCAAATTTAAATTCAATAAAGCTAGTGTAAAATATGAACAAAGGAAAAATTGACAGAGACTCTTGAAGCAGGTGTTCTAGAAGAGTAAGCATCTTCTGCTTCATCAGAAAAATTAAAGGAGTATTATAAGTAAATCTGTGAAATTATTTTGTTTAATGTTTGTTTTGGTGTCGTGTCGGATGCCTAGGACAATAACTGGGATTCTCCATGCATAAAAAAGGAACCTTTTCTGGCAATAAACCTCTATTGCAATATCTATGTATAGAACTATATGAAATGAAAATAATGAAAAATAAAAGCCAATTTAAAAAAAAAAAAAAAAAACAATGTGATTGTAAAATATGAGTTTCTGTATTGGTTGTGAAGATTTATTCTATATTCATTGGTAAGAAACATATATTGGCTAAGTTACATACCCAATGAACATTTTATGATCAATTAATGAGACATCAAGCAACCAATCCACAAGTACTCGGTATCTTAAGGATTGTGGTACACCTAAGTGTAATACCTTTACGACTGTCTTTCATCTTACCTGCGTTACCTTGGCAATGGGCTGTTTGTTTGCTGGGCAATATGATGTTGTTTCCTTCAAGAATGAAAATAATATACATTTTAAAACACCTATTTTACAATTTCCCTTCTGCATCAGATTAATTAATAGATGTTATCATGACTGCAGAGGAGTTATTTTCTTTCTTTGAATCATTTATGCCAAGTTAGAAAATACAAATTTTGTCAATATACTGTGAGATTTTGGGTAAAATATGCCTCACACTTCTACAAATACTTTCATAATGAAAATTGTATCTTTACGCAGTCAGATGGTACTGTTTAAACAGCAAAGTAGACTGATTCCAAACTAAACTTAAAAAGAAACACTTGATTAAATCTTTGTCAGAACAGTGTGATGTTTCAATGACTATAGAGTCACCTTCATCGGACAAATGACCAGTGTGAAGTGCATCAGCACTGATGTTTTAGTGTACAAGATGATAAGGAATCAACCAACTTCATGCATGAGTGATCATCAGTTTAAATCTCATTATGGATTTTTTTCTGCTAATATCAGATACATATGAAGAAAATATAATGCTGAGATTGTAAAAGAGCACCAAACTGTTGCTTGGTTGTTAATTGAGTTGCTCCAACATCATGTCAAAAATTGCCTCCATTTCCAAAGAGTTCCAAATAATGATAATTACTATCTACTCTTTCAGTAAGAGTAGTACATTTTGTGCCGAAAATGAAATATCAATATGTTCCTAACATGAACGTTGATGTCCTGCAAGACAAAAAGAGGCAAGTCCGCTCCAGTAATTGAACCACAGCCGATTAAAAAAAGGCGAGGTTGTTAACTATTGAGCCGACAACCAACGCAATTAAAGAGACATTATGTTAAAGATGTATTTTTAGAAATTGAATCGACTTATTGTTTACACCTTCAATCAAATGTAAGTTGTATTGATGATTCAATACTCTTAGTCTATCTGTAATGCTTGACCATTCAAATATTTGGGAAACCACTTAAAATAGAGTACTAAGGGCAGATGTACAAAAATCTTACAAAAGAAAGGAACGTTATGACTACCACCTTAATTTGGAACACCCTTTCTACAATATGGAGTCAGAGATCAGGAAAGATAATACCAGAGATGAGGCGAGTATACCAAAGAAATGGAACAGACTGGTAGAGGCGCTGATAAAAAAATGTTTAGAGTCTATCAAATTTCATGTAAGACTGGTGTAGTATGGTAAAGTGAAGCCCATGGTAAAGTGAAGCCACTTAATATTTTGTTTTCAATTGCTGTTTCTTTACTTAATTTTTTATCACTTCACTGAATTGTTTCTCAGTGAGGCATTTCACTATATTTTTTTACTTATTAACATTTTTCACCAATTGTTTTGCAATTCAACCTGACTCAATCATATAAACACATACATAACAAAAAATATGACTGAGATGGGCAAATTTAGGGTGGGGCAGGGGGGTTCACTTCACCATGGCCTTGGTAAAGTGATGCATTACACTATTTTCTTACTAATTAGCTTTTATCACCAATTGCTTTGCAATTCACCCTGATTCAATCATACACAGTGTAAATACATAAATAACAAGAGATCCCAGAGGGATCTTGGCGCCCACCATTTGAGGATCTGTTTTCAGTTCTTGAAGATTTGTTTATTTTTTTTGGTTTGTTACAGGTGTTGTAAATGTTCATGAACTGGTCTTCATTGAATGTACTCAATGATGGCACAAGATATTTTATTAAGCACCTATTAGCAAATATCAATTAAAAAAGATCCCAAAGTATTATTAGATAGCAGTCAGTTACAGGTGGATAATGGACAATATGCTTGTGCTGTATTACTGTCGACATCCAAGATGGCTGCCTGTGGGCTACCTTGATTTCAAATCAGTCCAAAAAAGGTACAATGCACAACTAGGGACCAAGGGAAACCAATATCTATGAAATATCAGAAGGATCCATCCAGTACTTCCTCAGATATAGCAGTAACAAGATTTTACTCTCAAAATCCAAGATGGCTGCCTGTCAGCCATCTTGATTTCGGATCAGTCCAAAAAGGTATAATGCACAACTTGGGACCAAAGGGAACCTGCATATGAAATTTGAGAAAGATCCATCCAGTACTTTTCCAGAAATAGCGGTAACAAGAATTGTTTACGGACGGACGGACCACGGACCACGGACCACGGACGCAGGGCGATTTGAATAACCCACCATCTATTAGATGGTGGGCTAATAAAAAATAGGTTTGGGTGGGAAAATAATGTGGCCAGGGTGTTGGTGGACTCGTATACATATACTCAGGTGTTGTACATAGTACTAAGGGTAGATAAGCTGTTATATTAACTGAGGGTGAGGCATGGGGGTTCATTTTATCACGCCCATGACTCTTCAGATACCACCTCTACTAAGAGTGAACCATCAGAAATGAATTACAGCACCTTGGAAGATTTGAACACACTGATAGAGGATCTGATGTTAAGTGATGCATCTTACACCAGCTCCACTGCGAGTGTAAGCAGTGAAGTTCACTAAAAATTGCTAGCATATGAATCAGAATCCATCAGTACCCAATGCTTTGTTGACAGAAGTGAGGTGACAAAAGTAGATTGATAAAAACCTTAAATGTAAATGCCCATGGAATAATTTATCAGAGATATGGTTAAATATCACTTGATTGTAACAATCAATTAATGTTAGAGCTTACATAGCCTTAGCATAAAGTACATGTTTATGTAATTACATCACAATGAAAAAGTTGTCCTGAGGAAGCCTCACTATAGAGGCAAAACTAGTTGACCAATAAATAACTAACCCAATCAAATTTTGATGCAAATGAACCTTCCACAGAAAAAAAGTTATGTTGGTGGTATCAAGCTATTTGCATAGTGCATTACTTGGCAGGTGATCCTAAAATATGATATCATTGTACTTAATTACGCCTGATCAATAAAGAGTACTTTTGGGCAATGTTTGTTTTCATAAAAATAACATTTTTCTTGTCAGTTAATAAGAAATAAAGTATGTGTCTTGTTCTATTCTGACACTTTTTGACATGTAAATCCTCCACATGTCCATTTACGTCACGTTGGCCTTGTTGTCGACCAATCAGATCATGTCATTCACACACACCCTTCAAAGTCAATGTCCTGGCATGTTCTTAGCTGTACAACACATCACGTGTCTCCACAATAGTGTATAAACTAGGATGTAATGTTTGGTCAAAATGACTGATAGCATAGATACCACTGGCACTGAACTATGTTAAACGGTAAATTCACGAAAGCCGCATGTCACCTATCGACTTATGCGTCGGTTTTCATCTTGTTTACCTCTCCTGATCCACCCCATTTGCCGTAATACGCGCCATTGTTGGATGATGACAGACCCAAGTCCTTGAGCCATGAATACTTGGGGTCTTCTATCAGTAAACTGGACATGGCTCTGTGTATTCGTAGCACAGGTGACTGTGTTCTCAACGTGAGTACCTTCGATGCCCTGCTAAAGATACCGAAGGTCGCCATATCTGGACGATGCCACTTTCGTAAAATAGGGTTATTTATAAGTCAGTCCTTTTCAGATAATATGAAAAAGATATATCCCAAAATAAAAGTATTTGAAACATTAGACAATAGATAACTTTGTTTGGTTTTCGGACGTAATTTGTTAGTAGTTTCTGCGTTTGATTTATGCTGGAATGTTAATAGGCCCAAAACAATTAGATAAATGGAACAACCCAATATCGTCTCGGGAGAGCTTTACCTCACCATTATTTAAGTATGATACTATAGAGGTACTCCGAACAACTTAAATGTGTGGGTGAAATCATTTCGGTAACTTAAACAAGTGACTCCAAATGTTTTAATATATTAACAAAATGAGAAAATATCAATTCAAATTGTCTTCGCTTTGATTTTGTTGATGTCAACTAACCACTCGCGATTGATTGAGGTCGTGTCCTGTATCACAATATGCCTGAACATGGTCTGACGGTGACACCTGCTGTGCCAGTGATTTTAAGAGGCTTTGCATGAATTACAGATACTTCTAGATATTATTGTCATATGAAGTAAGCAATTTCAACAGGAAAAAGGACCATGAGCAAAACACAAGACGACAACAAATTATGCAATTAAATTTATATTTGTAAATGTAAAAACAAAATAATTATTTATACGTATAATTAACATTTTAACAAGGCAGCATAATGTTACTGTACATTTTTTTTGTGAAAATATGCTACATAATATGCTACATAACTATATATATGTCGATAAAGGATCCATCGTATATATCACCAGAACAAGAAATCAAAGATCAGACTCTTCTACATCGACTGTTTATCTCGATCTTTTCCTATAACGAAACCAACATGGACAGCTTTCCATCAAGCTACTTGATAGACGTGATTATTTCAATTCCCTATTGTGGATTTCTCCATTTCTGGATAGTAATATCCTTGCATCTCCAACGTATGGTATTTACATGTCAAACGATGCAGGTGAATGAAAATTATGGGGAAATTTTATGGTCGCTGTAGTGATCTCATTGCGAAATATTCTATTTCTTTGTGTGATATGAAGCGGGACGTGTTTGATGCTCGTTAGTTTGCCTGTTGTTTCCGTTGTTGTGTACCTTGTTCTCATTTGAGAATATTACATTACTTACTTGGATTGACCAGGGCTTACATGTCAGGTGTCATCGATGAAACAGTAGACACTAACTCCTCCAGAACACCTGGTCTTATTATTAATCTTGTACTTTTTCAGGAGAACCATGTAAATGTTTCTTTTGGTCATATTTTGCCTTAGTTTTATGACATTTGGGATTTAATTATGATTAAAAAATTATTAAGAAAAGATTGAAAATGATGAAAAATTCAAAGTGAAAAAAATCACAAGCTATATATAAACAGGTTTGATATCAAAAGATACTTTAATTGAAGCGATACATGCTTTATGGCCACTAATGTATTTTCTGTAATCATGACATTACTTTCCACACAAATTAAATTGTTATAAGGATGAGATCCAGAAGACTGGATCTAGTAAGACCAGTGCATGTGGGATCATTTATGAATTTAAGTCCATAAGTAATTACTAGCTCTGATAATTCATGCTCAGGAAATATAGTTAACAAATCAACATTGACGTTTCCAGTGACTATCAAGTTTGATGTAGAAGCCAAAGGTCTGTCTGCATATACTCATGGATCATGCCAAAAAAGGCTGAATAGAGTTTTCGGAACTATAAATTGTACATAACATTTATGATTCGTCGGCAGTAATCTGTGACTACATGACTTAATCAAGTCTTAATCAAGAACGTGGACCTTGCTTTCCATAAGCCCCAGTATTCTCTGATGATTTTACAAATATACAAAAAAAGTCCTGTATAATACTTAAATATTTCTAAACCAACTTTCAGAGTTTAGAAGACATTAATAGATAAGAATATATATAGACTGGGTTAGGTTTAGGGTTTAAGTTTTAAATTTAAGTCTAAATAAGTAAAAGTTTTTTCCCCATTTTCCCCAACTCTGTTTAAACTTTCAAGAAAAGCCTCACCCTTAGCCTATTGAAAAAAGGCCCATTATGTTCTAAATGTTTCTTATCCTGGTTTCTTATATTTCTGTGCATAATACAAAAGCATAAGGTGCTACCTGATCACCTTGGCAACAGCTGCGCTCAACTTTGAAGAAAGCACAGAGATTCCAGACCTGATTTATTGCAGAATTAGCATTATTATATACTCTTTTATCCATTTTCTAATAATCTTCCTAAAGCCAAAAAAATGTTTTGTCTATAAAATTCCATGATACCGAATGAAAACCTTTTTCAAAATCAATCATAAGAAGTATTCCAGGTATAAAATTAACTTCAGTATAATTAATATTATCATATATAAGTATAGTAATTTTTCCAATGTAGCACCCTTGTAAAAATCCTAATTGATCATAATCTATAATTTTCCTCAAGACTGTTTTAACCTACATGCTATTTTATTAACATAATTTAAAAAAGATATCGGTTACCAATTTTTAATGAAATGTCTTGGATTGTCCCCTTTGATTTTTGACAATATATAATTATCGATAATGAACTCTACCGAGGAAGTGCATCGTTACCGATTTGTGATGTGTGTTCTATCAATCAAATAACAGAAATATAATAAATTTTAATTCTTTCACTTTTTTGTTTAATAATTAATCATCTATAATTTTTGTCTTCTTGTCAGTCTTCATGTTGTATGATTGTATGTACATGACATTTAGATATGGAAACTTTATTATTTCAACTTCAAAAAATTATACTTGTTGTAAGCATGCAAAGGGTCACACTTTGAAGAAACCCGTATCCCCCTTCAGTGAATCCAGAACCCCAGACGGCTAGGTGTTTCAAAACTGCGCCACCAAAGCACCGCCTGATCATGATGATACATTGTTTTTTAAGAATTTATTAGGATTTATTAGGATATATGATGGACGCAGGCTGGGAATAAGCCTCCGTGTCCATATCTGTAGATGAATTTACAATAAATAATATTCTTAATGATAAATACTTCTGGTGTTATTTCATGACTTTAAAATAAAATGTCGATTTTCTTTCCAGTGTTCATCAAATAAAATTTCGAACTGCTTAACTGTTTTAGCATCAACGACATGTTGAGGTAAACTGTTCCATACATTTTTTAGTTCTTTGACTAAAGAAATGTTTTCTGACGTCTAATCGAGAATGTTTCTTATACAATTTCTTGGAGTGTCCCCTTGTTGTAGTGGAGGATGCCATCTGGAATAGGTTTTCCGTAACTCTTGTATCATATTTATTATTTATGACTTTGAAGGTGTGAATGATGTCTCCCCTCATCCTGCGATGTTTTAAGGTAGTTTTTTTTGATAAATTTTGTTTCGGTAAAATCTTCTTATTCCTATAAATTCTACGTTGCATAACGTGAATAACTTGCTGTTTCAGTGGCCATGGTACATTTTTGTTTCTTTTTAACTCCAGCAATAATCTTTGTTTCCTGAATCAATATCAGTCCGGCTTTTTGCTTATGTTTATGGCAGACTTCCGGATTAGTTTTTGTTTACTTCCGGTTTACTCCTGTGCCGTTTGTGTGCAATAGTTGTCTTAAGTGATTCTTGGACGTGTATGTAAACAGATGTCTACGACTTAGACCACGTATGTTATGTTTCTTCCTTGTTTTGGTATGTTTTATCTTGTTTTGTAGCACAGTCGGGATTTAGGGATTTCTTCAACAACCAACCGAACCAGACGATGTCATTCCATAATTGTTTTATTCATAGTACATGTATGGCTTTCGAAATACCTAAAATAATACAAATATTATAGTATTACGTAACATGGTAAAACTCTTATAAGAATGCATCCTAAAGCAAACACACTTACGCACAACACATGGTGACATTCACATTCACGTTACTGACAATACATATTTGCTCTGTAGTACATAACTGAACAATTACTATAATGCGTAGCTTATTACAAATATGCTACACAATACTTAAATTTACATGTGACATAAATTACCTGAATCAAGATCTAAAGAGAAATAGTGGATTACATATCGTACTCTAAAGAAGATATTGTTCTCGTCCTGATCAATCAGGTGGAAATAATTGAATTGCTGTTTTGAAATAGATAAATAAATATCTTTATGAATAATTTGTAAAGATATGAACAATTTGCAACATAAATGCAAGACTCACCCTGTGTATGGCACGACGGACATCACAGTAATTTTAGATGAGGTTAACATGTTTTTCCAGTTCGAGCCCAAAATCAGAATTTATAAAGGCAAGAAAGGTTAGGCGGGAAAAGGAAGATAGAATTTAACAGCGTATGTCACAGGTCAAGTGGTCAATCATTGTCAAGAACATGTACAATATGTAACCAACAATAGTATGCCTATTCAGGGCCTGCTAGATGTATACCTTGCACAAAACAAAAGTAACCGATGCTTACGCGAATGGACACAAATAAAAGAGAAATATAATAACTAAAACAATCACATGTATTACAGAGTGCATGTTTGGTTATCGCGCCACGGGAAATCGGTATGGATGATGTGATATTTGAGGAGAAACTCATAGGTGTGACCCATCTCTTTATAATATGATGACGCTGTTTAGACTGACAGACAATAGTTGATTTGCATTTCGGAATTACATAAGCGGCATTTTTGTAACGATATAGGGAACGCACGACAAAACTGCACTTCCGGTTGGGTCTGACATTCCAATGTAAACATGGTGAAACACTGCTGTTGGGGTGATTGTCGGAGTGACGACCGCTACAGAAATGCAGATCATATGCAGGACGTGTTCTTCATACCGTTTCCCAAGCCTAAAACACAGCATGAAAAATGTAGATTGTGGGTTTCCTTGTGCGGGCGTAAAAACTGGGGGGTTACCAATGTAAACAAACACTCTTACATATGCAGCAAGCATTTCTTTGGAGGAAACGGTCCTACCATTGACCATCCCAATCCTTTGCCGGCATCTGGTACGGCCATTGATATAAAACGAGCACAGAGAAGAGCTCGACCATACCCCAGGTCCAGATCATTGCCAGCATCAGTGATAAAGAAATGTAAGTATTAGCGTTCAAATCCATAACAATACACATGTAAGGTAGAATATAGTCCGAAGCCGAAGGGTTCTGACATTTTTTTTTTTTTTTTTGGGGGGGTGGGGGGGGGGGGGGTGGGGAGGTTGCTCCAAAATTCTGCTAGTGTGGCTAAAATAATCTAAGCAAACATATACAGGTATACTGGACAAATATTACTAGTCCTATAATATATGACTTAACAATCCTGTCATAATATTTAACCTTTATTTTCAGATTTTTGACATTTACCATTTACTGCCGAATGTTTAATATCAAGACAGAATTGTGAAGTCATATATTATAGGACTACATGTGAGACATCAGTTTTATGAATTGTAACTGGGAATAAAATCCACACATAGCTACATATTACACAGTTCATTATCATTAACTTAAAGAACCTTCAAACCTTGCCTCTCCAGAGTCATGTATTTTGAGGTAAAATATACACTTTTCAAGTCAATTCAGAGTTAAATAATGTGAAGTACTTTGGTACATTTCTATAAATATTTCTATATAAAGAGATTCTGTTCACGTTCAGCATCAAGTACAGTTAAAATCTGTCAAAATTAGTTATCTTCATAAAAGGTTTAAAAAAGGTGTCATCAAATTTGTTAAAAGTATTAAATTCCCTAATGCCAAATCTCACCCCGGAGCTCAGCTCCTTGTGACCTTAATGCGAGAGCAAATAATGCCCGACACACAACAGCAAGTGAAAAAGCATCAAGTTTAAAGTATTTGTAAAACACACATTTGGAAAATCAGATGCAAATCTTTTTACTGAAATAAAACAGATCACATTCAGTGTCACTTAGCAACTGCTTGATATTTGGCTTTAACATTCCAGCTTTTTTTTGTATTCAAGGTTTGAAAAGCTTTATCACCCTATAGGTAAATATTGATGATTATCAAACAATAACGTTATTTCTACTATCAATTCATTCTGAAGATAATTACACTTGTACTGCATACCACAGAAATCAAGGTACAAAGCAATCCAATCACATGCATTTGGCTTAGTGTGATAGCATATGGTTGATAATGCTACCATAGTAATAAGGCTAATCACCAAGCTGATTGAGGCTGCATTATCACAACTGCTGGTGTATATATCAGTGTACACTGTGTACTTGATTACTTTGTTAAAATTGTTTAATGTGTACATTGTGACGATTGCCAAAATAACCTGTGAACAGGTATTCATGATCCAAATTTAAATTCAATAAAGCTAGTGTAAAATATGAACAAAGGAAAAATTGACAGAGACTCTTGAAGCAGGTGTTCTAGAAGAGTAAGCATCTTCTGCTTCATCAGAAAAATTAAAGGAGTATTATAAGTAAATCTGTGAAATTATTTTGTTTAATGTTTGTTTTGGTGTCGTGTCGGATGCCTAGGACAATAACTGGGATTCTCCATGCATAAAAAAGGAACCTTTTCTGGCAATAAACCTCTATTGCAATATCTATGTATAGAACTATATGAAATGAAAATAATGAAAAATAAAAGCCAATTTAAAAAAAAAAAAAAAAAACAATGTGATTGTAAAATATGAGTTTCTGTATTGGTTGTGAAGATTTATTCTATATTCATTGGTAAGAAACATATATTGGCTAAGTTACATACCCAATGAACATTTTATGATCAATTAATGAGACATCAAGCAACCAATCCACAAGTACTCGGTATCTTAAGGATTGTGGTACACCTAAGTGTAATACCTTTACGACTGTCTTTCATCTTACCTGCGTTACCTTGGCAATGGGCTGTTTGTTTGCTGGGCAATATGATGTTGTTTCCTTCAAGAATGAAAATAATATACATTTTAAAACACCTATTTTACAATTTCCCTTCTGCATCAGATTAATTAATAGATGTTATCATGACTGCAGAGGAGTTATTTTCTTTCTTTGAATCATTTATGCCAAGTTAGAAAATACAAATTTTGTCAATATACTGTGAGATTTTGGGTAAAATATGCCTCACACTTCTACAAATACTTTCATAATGAAAATTGTATCTTTACGCAGTCAGATGGTACTGTTTAAACAGCAAAGTAGACTGATTCCAAACTAAACTTAAAAAGAAACACTTGATTAAATCTTTGTCAGAACAGTGTGATGTTTCAATGACTATAGAGTCACCTTCATCGGACAAATGACCAGTGTGAAGTGCATCAGCACTGATGTTTTAGTGTACAAGATGATAAGGAATCAACCAACTTCATGCATGAGTGATCATCAGTTTAAATCTCATTATGGATTTTTTTCTGCTAATATCAGATACATATGAAGAAAATATAATGCTGAGATTGTAAAAGAGCACCAAACTGTTGCTTGGTTGTTAATTGAGTTGCTCCAACATCATGTCAAAAATTGCCTCCATTTCCAAAGAGTTCCAAATAATGATAATTACTATCTACTCTTTCAGTAAGAGTAGTACATTTTGTGCCGAAAATGAAATATCAATATGTTCCTAACATGAACGTTGATGTCCTGCAAGACAAAAAGAGGCAAGTCCGCTCCAGTAATTGAACCACAGCCGATTAAAAAAAGGCGAGGTTGTTAACTATTGAGCCGACAACCAACGCAATTAAAGAGACATTATGTTAAAGATGTATTTTTAGAAATTGAATCGACTTATTGTTTACACCTTCAATCAAATGTAAGTTGTATTGATGATTCAATACTCTTAGTCTATCTGTAATGCTTGACCATTCAAATATTTGGGAAACCACTTAAAATAGAGTACTAAGGGCAGATGTACAAAAATCTTACAAAAGAAAGGAACGTTATGACTACCACCTTAATTTGGAACACCCTTTCTACAATATGGAGTCAGAGATCAGGAAAGATAATACCAGAGATGAGGCGAGTATACCAAAGAAATGGAACAGACTGGTAGAGGCGCTGATAAAAAAATGTTTAGAGTCTATCAAATTTCATGTAAGACTGGTGTAGTATGGTAAAGTGAAGCCCATGGTAAAGTGAAGCCACTTAATATTTTGTTTTCAATTGCTGTTTCTTTACTTAATTTTTTATCACTTCACTGAATTGTTTCTCAGTGAGGCATTTCACTATATTTTTTTACTTATTAACATTTTTCACCAATTGTTTTGCAATTCAACCTGACTCAATCATATAAACACATACATAACAAAAAATATGACTGAGATGGGCAAATTTAGGGTGGGGCAGGGGGGTTCACTTCACCATGGCCTTGGTAAAGTGATGCATTACACTATTTTCTTACTAATTAGCTTTTATCACCAATTGCTTTGCAATTCACCCTGATTCAATCATACACAGTGTAAATACATAAATAACAAGAGATCCCAGAGGGATCTTGGCGCCCACCATTTGAGGATCTGTTTTCAGTTCTTGAAGATTTGTTTATTTTTTTTGGTTTGTTACAGGTGTTGTAAATGTTCATGAACTGGTCTTCATTGAATGTACTCAATGATGGCACAAGATATTTTATTAAGCACCTATTAGCAAATATCAATTAAAAAAGATCCCAAAGTATTATTAGATAGCAGTCAGTTACAGGTGGATAATGGACAATATGCTTGTGCTGTATTACTGTCGACATCCAAGATGGCTGCCTGTGGGCTACCTTGATTTCAAATCAGTCCAAAAAAGGTACAATGCACAACTAGGGACCAAGGGAAACCAATATCTATGAAATATCAGAAGGATCCATCCAGTACTTCCTCAGATATAGCAGTAACAAGATTTTACTCTCAAAATCCAAGATGGCTGCCTGTCAGCCATCTTGATTTCGGATCAGTCCAAAAAGGTATAATGCACAACTTGGGACCAAAGGGAACCTGCATATGAAATTTGAGAAAGATCCATCCAGTACTTTTCCAGAAATAGCGGTAACAAGAATTGTTTACGGACGGACGGACCACGGACCACGGACCACGGACGCAGGGCGATTTGAATAACCCACCATCTATTAGATGGTGGGCTAATAAAAAATAGGTTTGGGTGGGAAAATAATGTGGCCAGGGTGTTGGTGGACTCGTATACATATACTCAGGTGTTGTACATAGTACTAAGGGTAGATAAGCTGTTATATTAACTGAGGGTGAGGCATGGGGGTTCATTTTATCACGCCCATGACTCTTCAGATACCACCTCTACTAAGAGTGAACCATCAGAAATGAATTACAGCACCTTGGAAGATTTGAACACACTGATAGAGGATCTGATGTTAAGTGATGCATCTTACACCAGCTCCACTGCGAGTGTAAGCAGTGAAGTTCACTAAAAATTGCTAGCATATGAATCAGAATCCATCAGTACCCAATGCTTTGTTGACAGAAGTGAGGTGACAAAAGTAGATTGATAAAAACCTTAAATGTAAATGCCCATGGAATAATTTATCAGAGATATGGTTAAATATCACTTGATTGTAACAATCAATTAATGTTAGAGCTTACATAGCCTTAGCATAAAGTACATGTTTATGTAATTACATCACAATGAAAAAGTTGTCCTGAGGAAGCCTCACTATAGAGGCAAAACTAGTTGACCAATAAATAACTAACCCAATCAAATTTTGATGCAAATGAACCTTCCACAGAAAAAAAGTTATGTTGGTGGTATCAAGCTATTTGCATAGTGCATTACTTGGCAGGTGATCCTAAAATATGATATCATTGTACTTAATTACGCCTGATCAATAAAGAGTACTTTTGGGCAATGTTTGTTTTCATAAAAATAACATTTTTCTTGTCAGTTAATAAGAAATAAAGTATGTGTCTTGTTCTATTCTGACACTTTTTGACATGTAAATCCTCCACATGTCCATTTACGTCACGTTGGCCTTGTTGTCGACCAATCAGATCATGTCATTCACACACACCCTTCAAAGTCAATGTCCTGGCATGTTCTTAGCTGTACAACACATCACGTGTCTCCACAATAGTGTATAAACTAGGATGTAATGTTTGGTCAAAATGACTGATAGCATAGATACCACTGGCACTGAACTATGTTAAACGGTAAATTCACGAAAGCCGCATGTCACCTATCGACTTATGCGTCGGTTTTCATCTTGTTTACCTCTCCTGATCCACCCCATTTGCCGTAATACGCGCCATTGTTGGATGATGACAGACCCAAGTCCTTGAGCCATGAATACTTGGGGTCTTCTATCAGTAAACTGGACATGGCTCTGTGTATTCGTAGCACAGGTGACTGTGTTCTCAACGTGAGTACCTTCGATGCCCTGCTAAAGATACCGAAGGTCGCCATATCTGGACGATGCCACTTTCGTAAAATAGGGTTATTTATAAGTCAGTCCTTTTCAGATAATATGAAAAAGATATATCCCAAAATAAAAGTATTTGAAACATTAGACAATAGATAACTTTGTTTGGTTTTCGGACGTAATTTGTTAGTAGTTTCTGCGTTTGATTTATGCTGGAATGTTAATAGGCCCAAAACAATTAGATAAATGGAACAACCCAATATCGTCTCGGGAGAGCTTTACCTCACCATTATTTAAGTATGATACTATAGAGGTACTCCGAACAACTTAAATGTGTGGGTGAAATCATTTCGGTAACTTAAACAAGTGACTCCAAATGTTTTAATATATTAACAAAATGAGAAAATATCAATTCAAATTGTCTTCGCTTTGATTTTGTTGATGTCAACTAACCACTCGCGATTGATTGAGGTCGTGTCCTGTATCACAATATGCCTGAACATGGTCTGACGGTGACACCTGCTGTGCCAGTGATTTTAAGAGGCTTTGCATGAATTACAGATACTTCTAGATATTATTGTCATATGAAGTAAGCAATTTCAACAGGAAAAAGGACCATGAGCAAAACACAAGACGACAACAAATTATGCAATTAAATTTATATTTGTAAATGTAAAAACAAAATAATTATTTATACGTATAATTAACATTTTAACAAGGCAGCATAATGTTACTGTACATTTTTTTTGTGAAAATATGCTACATAATATGCTACATAACTATATATATGTCGATAAAGGATCCATCGTATATATCACCAGAACAAGAAATCAAAGATCAGACTCTTCTACATCGACTGTTTATCTCGATCTTTTCCTATAACGAAACCAACATGGACAGCTTTCCATCAAGCTACTTGATAGACGTGATTATTTCAATTCCCTATTGTGGATTTCTCCATTTCTGGATAGTAATATCCTTGCATCTCCAACGTATGGTATTTACATGTCAAACGATGCAGGTGAATGAAAATTATGGGGAAATTTTATGGTCGCTGTAGTGATCTCATTGCGAAATATTCTATTTCTTTGTGTGATATGAAGCGGGACGTGTTTGATGCTCGTTAGTTTGCCTGTTGTTTCCGTTGTTGTGTACCTTGTTCTCATTTGAGAATATTACATTACTTACTTGGATTGACCAGGGCTTACATGTCAGGTGTCATCGATGAAACAGTAGACACTAACTCCTCCAGAACACCTGGTCTTATTATTAATCTTGTACTTTTTCAGGAGAACCATGTAAATGTTTCTTTTGGTCATATTTTGCCTTAGTTTTATGACATTTGGGATTTAATTATGATTAAAAAATTATTAAGAAAAGATTGAAAATGATGAAAAATTCAAAGTGAAAAAAATCACAAGCTATATATAAACAGGTTTGATATCAAAAGATACTTTAATTGAAGCGATACATGCTTTATGGCCACTAATGTATTTTCTGTAATCATGACATTACTTTCCACACAAATTAAATTGTTATAAGGATGAGATCCAGAAGACTGGATCTAGTAAGACCAGTGCATGTGGGATCATTTATGAATTTAAGTCCATAAGTAATTACTAGCTCTGATAATTCATGCTCAGGAAATATAGTTAACAAATCAACATTGACGTTTCCAGTGACTATCAAGTTTGATGTAGAAGCCAAAGGTCTGCCTGCATATACTCATGGATCATGCCAAAAAAGGCTGAATAGAGTTTTCGGAACTATAAATTGTACATAACATTTATGATTCGTCGGCAGTAATCTGTGACTACATGACTTAATCAAGTCTTAATCAAGAACGTGGACCTTGCTTTCCATAAGCCCCAGTATTCTCTGATGATTTTACAAATATACAAAAAAAGTCCTGTATAATACTTAAATATTTCTAAACCAACTTTCAGAGTTTAGAAGACATTAATAGATAAGAATATATATAGACTGGGTTAGGTTTAGGGTTTAAGTTTTAAATTTAAGTCTAAATAAGTAAAAGTTTTTTCCCCATTTTCCCCAACTCTGTTTAAACTTTCAAGAAAAGCCTCACCCTTAGCCTATTGAAAAAAGGCCCATTATGTTCTAAATGTTTCTTATCCTGGTTTCTTATATTTCTGTGCATAATACAAAAGCATAAGGTGCTACCTGATCACCTTGGCAACAGCTGCGCTCAACTTTGAAGAAAGCACAGAGATTCCAGACCTGATTTATTGCAGAATTAGCATTATTATATACTCTTTTATCCATTTTCTAATAATCTTCCTAAAGCCAAAAAAATGTTTTGTCTATAAAATTCCATGATACCGAATGAAAACCTTTTTCAAAATCAATCATAAGAAGTATTCCAGGTATAAAATTAACTTCAGTATAATTAATATTATCATATATAAGTATAGTAATTTTTCCAATGTAGCACCCTTGTAAAAATCCTAATTGATCATAATCTATAATTTTCCTCAAGACTGTTTTAACCTACATGCTATTTTATTAACATAATTTAAAAAAGATATCGGTTACCAATTTTTAATGAAATGTCTTGGATTGTCCCCTTTGATTTTTGACAATATATAATTATCGATAATGAACTCTACCGAGGAAGTGCATCGTTACCGATTTGTGATGTGTGTTCTATCAATCAAATAACAGAAATATAATAAATTTTAATTCTTTCACTTTTTTGTTTAATAATTAATCATCTATAATTTTTGTCTTCTTGTCAGTCTTCATGTTGTATGATTGTATGTACATGACATTTAGATATGGAAACTTTATTATTTCAACTTCAAAAAATTATACTTGTTGTAAGCATGCAAAGGGTCACACTTTGAAGAAACCCGTATCCCCCTTCAGTGAATCCAGAACCCCAGACGGCTAGGTGTTTCAAAACTGCGCCACCAAAGCACCGCCTGATCATGATGATACATTGTTTTTTAAGAATTTATTAGGATTTATTAGGATATATGATGGACGCAGGCTGGGAATAAGCCTCCGTGTCCATATCTGTAGATGAATTTACAATAAATAATATTCTTAATGATAAATACTTCTGGTGTTATTTCATGACTTTAAAATAAAATGTCGATTTTCTTTCCAGTGTTCATCAAATAAAATTTCGAACTGCTTAACTGTTTTAGCATCAACGACATGTTGAGGTAAACTGTTCCATACATTTTTTAGTTCTTTGACTAAAGAAATGTTTTCTGACGTCTAATCGAGAATGTTTCTTATACAATTTCTTGGAGTGTCCCCTTGTTGTAGTGGAGGATGCCATCTGGAATAGGTTTTCCGTAACTCTTGTATCATATTTATTATTTATGACTTTGAAGGTGTGAATGATGTCTCCCCTCATCCTGCGATGTTTTAAGGTAGTTTTTTTTGATAAATTTTGTTTCGGTAAAATCTTCTTATTCCTATAAATTCTACGTTGCATAACGTGAATAACTTGCTGTTTCAGTGGCCATGGTACATTTTTGTTTCTTTTTAACTCCAGCAATAATCTTTGTTTCCTGAATCAATATCAGTCCGGCTTTTTGCTTATGTTTATGGCAGACTTCCGGATTAGTTTTTGTTTACTTCCGGTTTACTCCTGTGCCGTTTGTGTGCAATAGTTGTCTTAAGTGATTCTTGGACGTGTATGTAAACAGATGTCTACGACTTAGACCACGTATGTTATGTTTCTTCCTTGTTTTGGTATGTTTTATCTTGTTTTGTAGCACAGTCGGGATTTAGGGATTTCTTCAACAACCAACCGAACCAGACGATGTCATTCCATAATTGTTTTATTCATAGTACATGTATGGCTTTCGAAATACCTAAAATAATACAAATATTATAGTATTACGTAACATGGTAAAACTCTTATAAGAATGCATCCTAAAGCAAACACACTTACGCACAACACATGGTGACATTCACATTCACGTTACTGACAATACATATTTGCTCTGTAGTACATAACTGAACAATTACTATAATGCGTAGCTTATTACAAATATGCTACACAATACTTAAATTTACATGTGACATAAATTACCTGAATCAAGATCTAAAGAGAAATAGTGGATTACATATCGTACTCTAAAGAAGATATTGTTCTCGTCCTGATCAATCAGGTGGAAATAATTGAATTGCTGTTTTGAAATAGATAAATAAATATCTTTATGAATAATTTGTAAAGATATGAACAATTTGCAACATAAATGCAAGACTCACCCTGTGTATGGCACGACGGACATCACAGTAATTTTAGATGAGGTTAACATGTTTTTCCAGTTCGAGCCCAAAATCAGAATTTATAAAGGCAAGAAAGGTTAGGCGGGAAAAGGAAGATAGAATTTAACAGCGTATGTCACAGGTCAAGTGGTCAATCATTGTCAAGAACATGTACAATATGTAACCAACAATAGTATGCCTATTCAGGGCCTGCTAGATGTATACCTTGCACAAAACAAAAGTAACCGATGCTTACGCGAATGGACACAAATAAAAGAGAAATATAATAACTAAAACAATCACATGTATTACAGAGTGCATGTTTGGTTATCGCGCCACGGGAAATCGGTATGGATGATGTGATATTTGAGGAGAAACTCATAGGTGTGACCCATCTCTTTATAATATGATGACGCTGTTTAGACTGACAGACAATAGTTGATTTGCATTTCGGAATTACATAAGCGGCATTTTTGTAACGATATAGGGAACGCACGACAAAACTGCACTTCCGGTTGGGTCTGACATTCCAATGTAAACATGGTGAAACACTGCTGTTGGGGTGATTGTCGGAGTGACGACCGCTACAGAAATGCAGATCATATGCAGGACGTGTTCTTCATACCGTTTCCCAAGCCTAAAACACAGCATGAAAAATGTAGATTGTGGGTTTCCTTGTGCGGGCGTAAAAACTGGGGGGTTACCAATGTAAACAAACACTCTTACATATGCAGCAAGCATTTCTTTGGAGGAAACGGTCCTACCATTGACCATCCCAATCCTTTGCCGGCATCTGGTACGGCCATTGATATAAAACGAGCACAGAGAAGAGCTCGACCATACCCCAGGTCCAGATCATTGCCAGCATCAGTGATAAAGAAATGTAAGTATTAGCGTTCAAATCCATAACAATACACATGTAAGGTAGAATATAGTCCGAAGCCGAAGGGTTCTGACATTTTTTTTTTTTTTTTGGGGGGGTGGGGGGGGGGGGGGGGGGGGGGTGGGGAGGTTGCTCCAAAATTCTGCTAGTGTGGCTAAAATAATCTAAGCAAACATATACAGGTATACTGGACAAATATTACTAGTCCTATAATATATGACTTAACAATCCTGTCATAATATTTAACCTTTATTTTCAGATTTTTGACATTTACCATTTACTGCCGAATGTTTAATATCAAGACAGAATTGTGAAGTCATATATTATAGGACTACATGTGAGACATCAGTTTTATGAATTGTAACTGGGAATAAAATCCACACATAGCTACATATTACACAGTTCATTATCATTAACTTAAAGAACCTTCAAACCTTGCCTCTCCAGAGTCATGTATTTTGAGGTAAAATATACACTTTTCAAGTCAATTCAGAGTTAAATAATGTGAAGTACTTTGGTACATTTCTATAAAAGGAACATCACTACTTGTAGGTAATCATTTATTATGTTTAATTAATTGATGTTGTGATTAGTTAATACCTGGTATTTAGAATATCAATATTGAATTTGTTACAGGCCAAATTGACGACACCAAACTGATAATGCAGCAGGAAAACCACAACAATTCATTCAGTATCTTGAGTAAGTCTTAAGAATAGGAAACAACAACTCACATGATTATTCAGCTGAATTCTATCAATTTTATTATTTCTCCTTGGTTATTGCTGGTTGTATCAAACATGTTGTGTATATAACAACTAAGAAATCTTCTGTAAAATATCAACAATTTGATCATGTCTCTTCGCCATAATAAATATTCCTTTGCTACAGGTGACCATGCCTACACTATTCAACCCGGAGGTCCAGGAGAGAGAGGTACACAAACAGATAGTGTGGAGACCAGAAATTTTGGCACTCAGACAGATCTTACTATCAACTGCTTAAAGAACTATGACGATCAGCAGCTTCAAAATGAAGGCCTAATACGTCGACACCTGACAGTAACTAATGTAACTAAAGATGACTCCTCATGCAAATTTTACACAGGTTGGTTTTAGTTAAAGTTGCACAGTGCATTATTAATTAAAGATTCAAATATCCTTTTTTATGTTTCTGAAGAGAATAATAAGTACATTACCTGTAGGAAAAGGCATTCATATTCCAAATGACAGCATATTATGAGTACTATTTGCCAATGCTGTTGTTTTGGTGACGAAAAACATACGTCTCCTTCCCAAGCAAAAAAATATATTTTACCTTTGACCTAAAGGTCAAGGTCAAAGTGACCTTTTGTAAGTGCAGCGCACATCTCCTTTAGGTGATGCAACTACATACTGGGCTTGGGCAAAATATTATTTGAAGAACCAGAACAAGAAAATGTACTTATACAATATGTCTCCCTTCATTTAAAGGGGAGACATAATTAACTTTTTACTGGGATTATGTTGAGTTTTGTTTATTGCTCTTTCAGGGTTGTCAATCGCATTGCTCTCACTGGTGTTTGGATGGCTAAAAAATAAAGCTAAAAACATGACCTACTGGTGTGGAGCAGAAACAAATAAGGACAAAGTTGAGGTAAATTAATGAAAACAGTGTACATCTACCCACAAATGTAATTAAAATTTTAAGGATCATTTTTTTACAATGGAAATTAGTATTACTGAAATTAAGGATTATTTTTAAGACTACAATTACAGGTTTTATAACAAAAATAATAAATGCACACAGCTAACTAATCAGCTGCAGCACACAATTAATAATTTCTATTTCTAATTTAAGGTATCAAATGTTGGAAGACCAAGGTCTCTATCATTATGGGAGGAATTCCTTTTGGCACTTCTGCGACTAAGAAGAGGGTATGACAACACCACACTGGGACAGATGTTTGGTATATCAGCAAGTTCTGTTAGCCGGATATTTTTTACATGGATGTGTCTCATGTCCCGTGAGCTAAGGTTTTTAGTGTGTTGGCCATCTAGGGAACAGTGTAGAAGGAAGTTGCCAAAGTGTTTCAAGTGGTTTACTCGCACAAGGTGTGTTATAGATTGCACAGAGTTTTTCATACAGAAACCCAGTATGCCTTCCTCTCAACAGATAACCTGGTCCGCATACAAAGATCACAATACCTTAAAAGTGTTAATGGGAATAACCCCCACAGGATCATTCAGTTTTGTATCTGGGGCTTTTACAGGTAGCATATCAGATAAAAACATAGTTCTGCAAAGTGGCTTTCTGGAAAAGATAGAATATGGTGATGACATTATGGCTGATCGGGGTTTCCTTATCCGAGGAGAGCTTGCCTTAAGAGGTGCTACACTAAATATGCCACCATTTGCCATGGGAAGACAACTCTGCAGCAAAGCAACAACAAAAACTAGGAGGATTGCTCATGCGAGAATTCACGTTGAGAGGGCAATAGGACGTTTAAAAAACTTCAGTCTACTTCAAGGGGTCTTAAATCTGAAACTGAAAAATGTAATTGATGATGTTATTTTAGTTTGTGCAGCACTGTGTAATTTGGACAACCAACTTGTAAAGTAGTGGTCATGTGTGATCATTATGTGCAGTTAACTTGCTGATAATTACTGTAAAACAAAAGCAGTCCTTAGTTATGTCAGGAAAATGTTAAAGAGGCACTCCTTTGTTTGAAATGATTTTAGGTTGTAAAAATGAAACTTAAAGGAAAATTAGTATTTTTCCACAGTTGTAAAAGTTATTATCTTTACATTATTACTGCAATTTCACTCTCAAGTTAATCTAAAGCTTTCATGTTTTTGATGTCCGAATGCAGGAATGCCCCTTTCACTGATTTGTAGATTTAATTACCAGGATGTGTCAATCTCTGGTTCCCAAATGATTATCAGTAACATTTTTCATAAAGTTTTTACAGCATTACTTGTTTGTCAAAAAGATCATTAGACAATCTATATATAGAGTTCATTTTCCTGGTTGAGCTTTACAGTGTGTCAGCTTGTATTTCAGAGATCAAAGCACTTAACAAGTTTTGTTCAAAGTAAGTTTTCACCTTGTGAATCATATTTTCAAAGAAGATTTGGTCGAATTCACAGTGAGCAACATGGATGCCTTTGCGAGTGTAAATAACCAAATCAGTTGAAGAGAGTTCCAGAATACCCATTTGTGCCTGAATCTGATGGAAATAGTCACTTTTCTCTGCTACCACCCATTTCCCATCAATAAGTTCACATCCTTTATGTACACCTGCCATCTTTGGATTTTCATTTCTTAATGAATAAGGACATTTAATTTCAATATTTTTGTCTTCATGAGATGGATTCTTACATTTACAGGAGAAAACACCATCACTGCTGCAACCTATATAACATGTACAAGGATAAACAGTTAGGCCTTTTTGGGTGATTTTGCATCCTAAATGCTTCCTTCTGTTTGCTCGCATGTACAGATCACGACCCTTATGCTCAATTTCTTGCCCCATTCAAGAGGTGCTGGATCAATATCATCATCACTTGCATATTTACCAAGTAAAGATTTGAGTAAGGATGGTGGATTTCTGTTGTTGTCAATGGTGTCACAAACTTTTCTGAAACTTGATGCAGTAATCATACCAATACGGAAAGCATTCCACGTTTTGTTTTGGACTTGACCAATAGTTGCCTGTTCAATGTATTCTACCTGATCAGATGACAATGTTAAACAACCTGGTTCTTGTTCTAAGAAACCCTTGCAAAGGTGTGTAGACGTTACACTGTCTGTGTTAACTTCTTGATCAAGATATTGCTTCACATTTTGTCTGATAGAAAGTTTCATACATTTTTCATCAAGTTTTGTACATGTACCATTTTTTTCATCTGGGTCATCCAAAACAAGCAAGTCCAATGCTTGAGCATTTGGAGAAATCTGTGGACCAACAGAATTTAGTACAATCAGACAACCCAAAGTAAGAATGGAATCGATAACAATACATTTCATAACTTGGAGTTCAATAAGCAGTTATTATCAGGGACTTTTGTTCAGCTTTACATTTACTGTAGGTCTATAAGAATATTTACCAGTTCAAATTTAGTAATTGAGCATTTCAAAATGTTTGAATTCTTACTTGTTCTTTTCATCTTAGAGAGAAGTAAAACAAGGGAAAACATTTTACTACTGTGATTTTATATGATACCTCTTTGAGGGATTGTGCAAAAGATGTTATCTGATCCTGAGTAGTAATGTCCCTCTGACTGCGGATTCTGGGATCATATGAAGCAGTTGACACACTTTCATCACTTTGATTCAGACTGCTGTATCTACCATATAAAGAGAGATTACTTGATACAACCTCTGCTTTTTTGATACATATGTACTTTGTATCTTGCGTTAAAATAGAATGTTTTTGTTTTTTTTTTTTTTTGTGAAATGATGTCATATCAAAATTATATTGAATAGAAAAAGAAAAACCTGAACAGTACTGGTAACAAAACGTAGTTCAAAATCCCTGACATGATTGATACATGTAATTTATTAAATTGTTTTTGTGAGTTTTCCACAGTGATTCTTTTTTCAATAATTGAATAGATACACATGTACATTCTCATATTATTGTTCCCATCATGTGCGTGCAACAGGAATTGGCAACTTTAACTTATATTTACTTTTACATGTACATGTTATTTGAAAGTGTAATTTTTTGTTGAATACACTCACTTGGCCTTTACCACTTTCAGCTTTTTAACCGGTACAGGATTATCATGAAGGTGAGGCCTTTTTGCCCACTGGTTTTCACCATCAGTTACAGACTTCTGCTCAAAGTTTTCTAACTCATATAATGCAGCAGAAACATGTCGGCATGCTCCATCTGCCCTGTAAGCATGTAATAAAGTATTTTTTTTTTATCAAGATCAGTACCAACTATTGATCAGTTGTATTGGAAATGATATTGGCCAGGGAGATAAATTGGTTTTCAGCAGAAAATTTAGCTTTACACACAATGTATATATCCATTTATATTATTTTTCCTGAGATTCATGCATTATTTTGCCAATGTATTTGTTGAATTTTCACCATTGATTTAAATACACATGTATTGTCTGTAATACAGTGACTGTATATGTGTATTTTCTTTGCCGTAAAAAAATGTATATAAACGTTCACTGATGACAGCTTCTGAAAGTTTATATGTAGTTTTACCACTTTGGATGCTATTTCAAATAGAATTGAAATAGAAATAGAAGTGAAGTTTGAATAAGACGAGAGCAGGTCATAGAACAAAATTATTTTTTATTATCTGAATCTTGTTGACTAATTGTAAGCTTACCCTCCTGTACATGTACAGTATGCTGCTTTGACCTCACTATGTTCTTTTTCAATCAGAATCCAAAGATCATAGTGTTTTTTATTGAGGTAAGTCACTTCTCTCTGTGTTGGTTTACATTTAGCTTTAAACAGACAAACTGGATATGACTCCAGCTCATTGAACAACAGTTCTTCAATGTGACCGTCAATAAAGAGTCTGTAATCGTCACAAGATTTGTATGCTTTGAGTTTCTTTTTGTCATAATCTGCCTTGCTGTTGATGAGGTAGTTAAACAAGTCATACAAAGAAAAATCTGGTATATTCGAAAAATCTGAGGTATAACCTGGTGCTGTAAACGGATTGTCGAACGGACAACCTACAGACCGAATTTTATCTAATGTAACCGTAGAGTCGTCTTTGCACGATAGACAGTCTGGGTCCACCGGTAAATTGAGTGTTTCTACGGCTTCACACAGGTTAACAAGCTTATTCTTTAAATTCCAGTGACAGATATACCTCTCCTAGACAAATACTCTTTTAACTCTGGTACTTTCAGTGAACTAAATCGGGATATCGACATTTTTCATAGGTTAGAATTCCGACCGGATTTGTTTACACTGGATACACGATTGGAATGTCGGGTGTCACGTGACTACTACTCTTCGGATTATCGCCCCTTATTTATATGGCGGTTTATGCAAATGTACTATTGTTTGTTACTTATTACGGTTCTTAGTCCAACTGTCAGGGTTTATGTGATAGATTCAAATGGAAATTTATTTTCTACTATTGTAAGAATAAATTGTGTTGCATTTTACTCAGGATAAAGAAAATCTTATAAGAAGTTAGTGGAAGTTTCAATGTTTTTTTAACTCTGGTAAATCTAATGCTAGTGGTGTTGCTATATGTACTAAAAATTATTAATACATATAGCAACACCTCTAGTATTCGATTTATCAGAGTTAAAGAAACATTCAGAGTTTAAACTTCACGGGCAAAAGAGGGATATTGCTGGTAATTTTGACTCTAGACATTTCAATTGAGGGAACAAGAGTCTTATTTATATATGATCCAAATCATGATACCCCTGATTTTTGCAATACTATTTCTGAGACTATGGATGATTTTGAAAACCGTTCTGTAACTGTTGTAATTTGCAGAGATATCAATTTAGTTTTGAATCCTGAGATTGATTATGACACTATGAAAAAATAATTAACCCTTAGGTTAGAGAAAAGGTATATGAAATTGTTGAAAATTATAGTACATGAGAACAGTAGAAGGAATACATGGAGAAAGAGTAATCCTATTAAACAGGCTAGGCTAGATGTTTTTCTTATTTCAAAGAGTATGTGACTTATTGTTGTAATTTTTTCCATACATGCATGTTATAAATAGATCATTCATTTAATAAAATTAGTGTAAAGTTCAACAATTTTAAGAAAGGAAAGGATTTATGGAAAAAATGATTCACTTTTACATGATTTAGATTATTTTAAATTGATCAAGACCTGTATTGATGCCATAAATGCTAGATATGGTTTACCTGTGTACAACTTAGATTATATTCGAGAAGTCTCAGATTCATACTTGTAATTTACTGTGCATGATCAATTGGTTTAAGAGGTTCTGTTCATGGAAATTTGAGGGGAAAACAATCTCATATTCAAGCCTCGTAAAAAAATAAATAAAAATTACTAGAGTAGATAGTCTCAAGAAATGTATACAGGAATTAGAAGATTAGGATGTTATTGATAGTGTTGAGATGGCTAATAAGAAAAATGGATCTTGGGGCAATAGGGCTACATAAAAAACAAGGTAATATTGTTAAGTATAGGGCAAAATGGATAGAGGAGGGTGATCCAATCACACTGTATATCTTTATGACATGTCCTTGAATTTTTGCACTGAGAATCAGAAAAAATCATAATATAAATGGTATAAATGTAAATGGTTTCCCAATACTTTTCTCTTAGTTTGGTGGTGACACTTTAATTCTTGATGGGTCTGAAAAATATTTACATGAACCATTACTGAGCTGAATTTGAAAATATTTCTGGCCTGAAAATGAATACTAGCAAAACACAGGTAAAATGGATTGACAGTAAGAAATATAGTACAGATACATTCTTACCAGAATTAAATTTACAATAGGGGAATGAGAAATTTACCCTACTAGGGATTTATTTTATTGTCAATCTAAACTAAATTAACAAAGTTAAAATCTCTGATTAAGACTTGGAGTAGAAGAATGCTGACCCCAACAGGAAAGAAACAACTTATAAAGTCACAATTCAACAATTTATTTATTGTCCTTCAAAATCCAAGCACTAATTTTATTAATCATTTGAATAAAATTCTCTGCAACTTTTGTGAAATGTGAAAAACAGTAAAGTAAAAAGAAATATTAAAATTAGCAACTATTTAAGGGTGGTTTAAAGATGATAAATATTTCAGATTTTATGATTGCACTGAAAATTTGTTGGATAAGGAGATATTTTATAAGTTCATGTACAAGCAAGTGGAAAGTTATATTTATGAGATTTATCAATATTGATATTGGTTTGAACAGTGAGAGTGACAGTATAAGTAAGTGTCAGGAAAAATAGAAAAATAAGTTTTGATGTGATGGGAAAAATTACTGATTTATAATCTTAAGGTAAAGGGTAGACAACTCTCTCCTCTAAAGACTTCTCTTTGGTATAACCCAAAACTGATTTTCTGTTTCTACAAAGGCTGGTTTCCTAAAGGTGTTAAGAGTATTTACTGATTTGTTAAAAGATGCAAAATTTATTACTTTCGACACGTTTAATGAATTTTCTGAAAATATGGCATAGTCACTTACTTTTATAGGTTTCAAGGAATTGTAAAATCTTTTAAGAAGAATATTGACCTGCATTTGATTAAGGACTCAAATTTTCCTTCGCCTTTTATCCCCTCCATTATAGAACTTTATAGAAATAGCTATAGGTAGAAAGAAATTGGCTGAACGGTTTGATTTTTAGCTCACCTGGCCTAAAGAGCAAAGTGAGCTTATGCCATAGTGCGGTGTCTGTCCTGCATCCGTCAATTTTTCATTTAAACAACTTCTTCTGAAATACCGAAAGGCGTAGAGTTATCATGTATGTCTGGAAGGTTCCTTTGATGAAGCCCAACAAAGTTTGTGAAAAGAAATGACCTTGACCCATATTCAAGGTCACAGAGGTAAAATGTGTGAAAACCTTTAAATGACTTCTTCTCAAATATCGGAAGGCCTAGAATCATTATATTTGGCTACTATGTTCCTCTTATGGTGTCCTACACAGTTTGCTATAAGAAATGACCTTGACCAATCTTCAAGGTCACAGGGGTCAAATGTGTAAAAAACGTTTAAACAATTTCTTCCGAAATATCGAAAAGCCTAGAATCATTATATTTGGCCAGTATGTTCTTTTTATGAAGTCCAAGAAAGTTTGCAAAAAGAAATTACCTTACCTTATTAGGGGTCAAATGTGTTAAACCTTTAAATGACATTTTTTGATTATCCAAAACATCTTGGATAGTGATATTATTCTAAAATAGTTTCTTAATAATGCCGGTAATATTTGAGAATAGAAATGACCTTGACCCATATTCAAGGTCACAACAGTCAAATGTGTTTAACCTTTTAACAACTTCTGCTTAACCAAAAGGCCTAAAATCATATTATTTGGCCGACAGTTCCCTTTATGGTTCCCACATAGTGTGTGAAAAAACTTGACCTATAAAATTTTTAAGGTCACTGGGGTTAAATTTGGCAAAATCATTAACAAATTCTGATTGACCAAAGGCAATCATATTTGGCCAGTAAAAGTTTCACAAAGGCTTATATACAAATATGTAGAACCTCCCAATGACTTATTAAAGGCATCATTTGGAGTAAATTATAAAGACCTTTCACAGTGATTTCACACCGTTCCAAAAAATTGATTAGGCCAAGCCCTCTGGAGGTCTGAGAGGCTTGAACTAAGTAATGTAAAAAAATACATGTTAGCCAATTACTTATGTTCTATTCACAGCATTAAAATACAGAAAACATGATCCTCAAACGAATGAGTGCACTTCACTGAACATAAAAAAAATCATAACATATTGTTTTGATATGTATTTAGTTCATATAAAAATGAATAATGAATGTACTTCTCTTTATGAAATGTTTCATCTAATTTGATTTATTTAGACAATTCAATATTTAGCAGTTTTTGTTTTTGCTCTTGAGATGTGAGTCAGGTTTCAGGGCCGGATGTGTACACAAATTCACCACCATCCTATGTATCCACTTACTCAACATGGTAATATATATTTACAACTGTTTATTAACAGATAATACTATATATTAACAGGTGTAATGTGGGGAAGTTTCACCAGTGCCGACACCTAACGCTAACTTAACTATAGGACTTTATTTATTTATGAACGAGTGTTAAGTCCACTATAACGACCTTTCCGGCTTTCATCGGACGAGAAAAGATAAGAAAAAGAATACGAAGGGAAAAGCAGGATTGATGGGAGAGAATGGGATATAGAGATAAGGTAGGGAGTGCCCCTCATATAAATAACATTCGGAACACCTCGTAATGGTTAAAACAACTGCAGAACGGAAAGAGTTCCGATGATCACCCGGAAAATCCCCAACATTTATGCACAGATCAACGACAAGTCGAGAAAAACTTCTTCTTACGTTATGACGTGATTTTCCGTAATACGTTGACATATGTTCAAGCGTGAGTTATTACTTCGATTTTTTTGTCTTCAACTCTCTTCTACTTCTTACGGTATCTGAATATTTTTCACTCAAACAACGTCTCACACATTGATTGACGTAATCCTGACCGATATAGCTGTTGTCCGGTTGTTCATTTTAACGGTACAGTCTGTTAATTTTTCCATAAAGGTGATTGTTTGGTTCTTATTTGAGGTGACGTTCACTTTGTTAATTATCGATATTTAACATCACTAGGGAAACTTGTTTCGCCATATGTGATATAGGAATTATGGCCATTCGACAAAGTTGGGTATAGTTGTCATTGCGTGGGTCTGAGTAGTTTCTGGAACTTTTCAGTATATAGTATACAAATTCCATAATGAAAGCTGGGAATTCAATTGACTAATAATACTTTGTTACAAATTTAAGTGTAATACCATTTCATTGTTTAGAAGACAGTTATAAGATACAAATAATGAAAACGAAAGTAAACGATGACAAACATTACAATGGTGAGTGAACAGAGATCATTTTGTTGGTTTCTTCAAACATCAAACCAAGTACTTTCGGTATACGTATTTGATGCTCCATTGAATTAACTAAATATAAGTGTGGCCAATAGCTGAGTAAGTCGGACAAAATGTTAACATATTTTAGAGATGATTTTGTTATTTGATATTATGTATGTTCTCCTCTTTCAGTGAAAAATTTGACCTGATTTTTTCCAGGATTACTTTTATAAACAATGCTTGCCAGACAAGACAGAGTATTCTTGTTAAGATACCATAGGAAGCTATACTAGAGGCAATTGTAACTACAGTCACTATTTTCTAATGATTAACAGGGGTGGTATTTTTAACTTTTTAGCATATAACTATTTGTGGCGAGCAGTTCAAATTTCATCTTGTAAAATCTTAAACTTATTGGCAGTTTTAAAGATTATTAAATTGTTTCAAATGTGATTTATGTCATTGATTTAAGAACTTGCTTTGAACAAATAAAAACAAAAAAGATGAATAAAAATGTTGATTTCAAGTAACCCTTGATTCCTGACACTGTGCCATTGTTACCAACTGAAAACAAAAAATAATTTAAAGTATAACAGTTCCTAACATAAGCTTCATGATAAAGTATGCTAAATTTCTAAAGAGCATATTTTGTTTTTTCTTATTTTGTGGGAGTTAGACTCCTCTCCTTTGTTTTATCATTATTTTATCACACCAGTGTCTGAAAAAATAATGAGCTGCACTCAGGCATGTGCATATGGAGACCTTAAAATCTTTTTATTTTTTTAAAAAGTAGGTCCTATGTCCTAACTTACAGCCTTAATTGACATATACTGACAAGGGGAAGATGTAAAATTTCCTCATATTTTGAAATTTTGAGAGTCGTGTTTTATTTATTAGTTTTTAACATTAATTATTCTATTTACAATTTTACTGATGATAAGAAAAATTCTGCTAGCTACATGCATCACAAACTATGTTTCAAATTCTTGAATTCTGGTTCTGCTGTCATCTGAAGCTAGCAGGAAAGAACGAAAGAAGTATGCTCTGTCAACTAAGAGACAGATACTGTATTTAAGGCTATATACAAGTCACAACAACCTCCTTCTATTATAACTCTGCTGCTGTCCATTTTATTCCATCATGTATCTTTAATTTAGAGTCACTTGTGCATACAGACTTCAAGTTTCAGGAGGTGTTCTCATGGAATTTTGAACAAACGTAACTCCTGAATTCTAGAGTCAATTGATTCAAACTGTGTTTTGAAATTAAATTTTGTATACCCAACATCAGGTTACATTTGCACACAGCTTAGCTACAAGAAAAATACACATTTAAAATCTAAAATGCCAAAACTGGCAAAATTGTGTGAAAGTGTTTGAAATAATTATACAGTATTTAGCCACTGGTGAAATATTTCGAAAACATTGGTTGGGTCCATGCACTGCATGAAAGATTTAGTAGTGATATGGAAATGTTTTCTTACCCAATTTCATTTTCTTGGGCTTCAATTTGAAGCAACCTGTGCTCACATTTTAGCAACCAGTTGTTGGGGATTGTACATTGTGAAGTTATCATTATGAAACTTGTTTGCTGGCAAAGTACATGATAATAAAACATGTAAACAATAATAATACATCCTTTATAATAATAATAACAACAATACAAAATACAATCATACATTATCATAAAATACAATCATACATTATCATTAAATACAATCATACAATACAATCATACATTATCATAAAATAAAATCATACATTATCATAAAATACAATCATACAATACAATCATACATTATCATAAAATACAATCATACAATACAATATCATAAAATACAATCATACATTATCATAAAATACAATCATACAATACAATCATACATTATCATAAAATAAAATCATACATTATCATAAAATACAATCATACATTATCATAAAATACAATCATACATTATCATAAAATACAATCATACATTATCATAAAATACAATCATAGATTATCATAAAATACAATCATAGATTATCATAAAATACAATCATAGATTATCATAAAATACAATCATAGATTATCATAAAATACAATCATACATTATCATAAAATACAATCATACATTATCATTTAGGATTACATTACAAAATCCATAGTTGTAATATATGCACAAATTATTGTAGTGATAAGACGTGGAATAATTTAAATACATGTACATACACAACTTGACACAAGCTTATACAGCTGATGGAATAAAAAAAAAACTTGTATTTGCTGACAGAGGTCATTTAGTTGGTTTATGTGAAGGACCAAGCCAAGGACTTTCTGTCTACTAATTTAATTCTATATAATTGTGAAAGAAATGCCAAATAAGGGTGTTGATTTTAATCAGGTTTTATTTTTGTCAGACTTTATTTATTCCATTTTATTATGTCATCATGTTCAGATGTAAGATAGATGTACTGGGATTATTTATGTCATTATTTTCATTTCTAGAATTACACATGAGGTATCTGTCTTCGAACAAAAAGATAACAAAATGAGTGAGTCTCCATCTGGTATCAGACGAGTGGACCGTCTCACATCGCAAGTTGAATTTGATGCCATGCCGGATGTTTGTGGAAGTAAGAATTTTGTTGAATAGTGCATATAATATATATATATATAAATGATTTTTGACTAAAGAAGAAAGACGTTACATTTTGCACTAGCGCTTTCACTGTATTAGATCTTCAGGTGCATAGTAACTGTACATAATGGTGTGGCATTACAACATGTTATCTGTTCATCTGAAACCAATCGAATACAAAGACAAGCCAAGGAGTCAGAAATTATAAACATTTTAAAACCAGACTTGAATATTAATGTTTAACCGCATTGTAAAGTTTGCAAAATATAATTATGCCCCTTTTATATTATGACGTCATCAACAGATAACATATTGTGACGCCACACCATTATGTACAGTTACTATGCACCTGAAGATCTAATACAGTGAAAGCGCTAGTGCAAAATGTAACGTCTTTCTTCTTTTGTCAAAAATCATTTTTATTTATAATTTACTTGCATCTCGTCAAATCAAGCTTTTTCTATATATATATATATTTTTTTTTTTAAAAACATAAGTGGTTTCAGTATCCATCTTAAGATGTTCAACATGTGAATCTTCCCCTTGGTATTTTGAACTTCAGATAAAGTTTATTTTTAACAATGTATTATTTCCTTGAAAACTGGGGATTGAATCCTTATTTAAGGGTAGTGGGAATCACTGACACAGTACTACATAGTTACATAATAATGAAGACATACCACATTTTGACATGGTTTAGTGACATCAAAGTAGAAAGAGGGAGATAAATCATTGTAAGACCTTTTAGTTTTGGTTTAAACAATTTGATGGAGTACTTTTCTTTCGAAGACATAAGTTTTTTTGCACATTGTAAAAATGATTAAGTTATTAATTTGATTTTACTATATTTTGAAGAATTACTTGTTGATTTGACTGGGGACTTCTAGATCATAGCTGAAGAACAAAATAACATGGACATTCAGGTCTTACAGACAAGTTATTTTCACTTTGTTATTAAAACAAAATTTGTTAGATTCAGTGTAGTTACATTTAATTAAAAGAGGTTTTAGGAAGGTGTTTGTTAATTCCAACTTTATATTGCATATACATCCAGGAGAGCTTTCATCCATGCATTTTCTGTAAAACTCTCTTTGTGTTCTGTAAAATGAGCATATGAATGGTTGATTAAATCAGAAAATCTCTCTTTTTGAATTTCTCCAGACTGATAGACTTGTTAAGATCATGACATGCCATTGGAAAAACTACACCAATATATCTATTGATGATGGTCTCATTATAGCAGTATATGTGTATATATAGTGATGCACTTGAAAATAGTACTTGGAAATAGAGATAATCATGGATAAACTGTAATTACACATTTATTGTATTTCTATGAAAAAAGACCTTGTGAGATATGTATACATTGTTATATATGTATGAACATACATGGACATGGCTATATTAATTTCCTTTTAGACTTGATATGTAGGTATTGTCTGATGTAGTCAAATTAACCATTACATTTTTTCAGAACCTCTACACTTGAGTTCTGAGCCCTTTCCATATCCACGTGAAGGAGAAGGAAAAGCTGGTAAGTATCTCTACAGTACATATATATTATTTAGTAAACACAGAAAATGCAAATCTTCTTTGCTTAATAGGGTATAGGGTCATTGTAGAACAACAAAATAGCATTTCATATTATTTGTTCTTAACCAAATTGTATAAGAGTACAAATTACTAGACGAGGACATACTGGTTGATAATAATGAAATATGGGTTTACTTTGTTACTTAATTAGTAAGACTTTGTTACTACTACATAGTAATATAACCATGTAAGTCTATATTTGTGAAATTGAGAATCAGGATATCATACTGTAACCATACAGAGGTTTTGTCATTTCTAGCTCTCCTGGCCCAAAGGGTAAAGTGGGCTTATGCTGTGGTGCAGCATCTGTTGTCCCTCTGTCGTCCGACATCAACTTCTTCTCAATAATCAATGGACCAAATGTTTTTATATTTGGCTAGTATGTTCCAAGGATGAAGCCTGACGAAGTTTGTGAAAAGAAATGACCTTAACCTATATTCAAGGTCATAGGGGTCAAATGTTTTAAAAACTTTAAATGATTTCTTCCCATGAACTAAAAGACCTAGAGGCATGATATTTGGCCTGTATGTTTTCAGGATTTAGCCGGAAGAAGTTTGTGACAAGAAATGATATTCAAGGTCACATGTGTCAAATTTGTTAAATCGTTTTAAATTACTTTTTCTCATGAACTGAAAGGCCTAGAAGATTGATATTTGGCTGGTACATTCTAAGGATGAATCCCTGATTAAGTTTGTGAAAAGAAATTATTTTGACTCAAATTCAAGGTCACAGAGGTCAAATTTGTTTAAACCTTTAAAAAGCTTCTACTCATGAACAAATATGCCAAGGTGCATGATATTTGGCTGGCATATATATACCAGGTGAGTGTAGCAGGCCCATTGTGCCTCTTGTTTGTAATATTGACAAAGTTTGGGGATTAATGATTTGTCTAGTTGTCTGTGTAACCTGAACAGTAAACACCAGATCCCCATGTTCTAAAGATGTATCATTTTTCACAAAAAACCTCAACCTCAAAAGTTACATCTCCCAGCCTCAAGTCACATCTCCCAGCCTTAAAAGTCACATCTCCCAGCCTCAAGTCACATCTCCCAGCCTTAAAAGTCACATCTCCCAACCTCAAAAGTAACATTTCCTGTCCTCAAAAGTCAGGTTTTCTGGCCTCAGAAGTCACATCTCCAAGCCACAATAGTCACATATCCCAGTCTCAAAAGCAACATCTCCTGACCTTAAAAGTCAGGTTTCCTGGTCTCAGAAGTCACATCTCCTAGCCACTATAGTCACATCTCCAAGCAAATAAAATGAGAAAATGTGTCAATTTACCAATAAATCAGTAAAATCCTTCACTTTTCAAAATTCTGTTAACTGTTTGTGTAAATAATTTCAGTGTTACGAGGAAGTGGACTTGTACTTGAGACGAGTGAAGGAATCTCTGGTGAAAGTCAACAGATCCCATCAGGAAGAAAACTGACTTTACCATCACAAATTTCACAACCATTCCTCTCAGACCGAGATTGTCTTTCAACATTTCTGGAAAACTACACTTTTCTTCACCGCTACTCCAGTTCTGACCAGCAGAAGTACATCACAAGTATAAAATTAATCATGAAACACTTTGAGCGTTTACCGGATGAATTGAAAGCATCCTATTATGATGTAATGATTCTTTATAGTGAACGTGACCAATCTGATGCTGAATCATACTGCCAGAGTCTTAATAATCTGAGTCTTGAAAATGGAAAGAGGGTGAAGGCAATTTTATATAATGACCCAAAATTGGCCAGTGTCAATAGCAGAAACTTAAAAAATTTGGAAATTGCATTTGAGCGATGTACTTTCACTTTTGTATACCTGACTAAACAGTTTTGTCAGTGTGAGTGGTCTCAGATGGCAAGTGAAGGGTGTCTAATGGAAGCAATATACAACAAGGACAAACGATGGTGTGTCGTGCCAGTGTATACAGTGCGGCGTACAAAAGCAGATTTCCGTATCCCGATGGGTCTAAACTCACTAAAGGGGGTTAACTTCTACAACAATGACGATTTTTACCGTCGTGGATTACAGAGTTTGATAAGTGGTAAAATCTACAAAAGGGAGGATCATGAAGAAGCACTGTTTATTGAACAGTGCAAATATGTAGTACAACTGGAAAATCAACTAGAATCAGAGGTGCGAAAGAGACAGCAGAAACTTGATGAAGCAGAACATCAGAAGGGGTGGCCTTCTCCAAGCTCAAGTCAAAAAGAAGAGCTATTAAAGAACTTAGATTCTCAAGCACAAAAAGATGCTGATTCAGTTGTCTTAGATGCAAGACAATATCCTTCTGGAGGGGAAATGTCTAGATCATTGTCAAAATTTCAGAGTGAAAGCTCTGTGCATGGTTACCCATCAATGAGAGATTCTCAGAATCAACATGGGGACCAACCTGACTTGCCCATGCCTTACAGCATCGATAGTCAAGAGTCTGTGTCATTGGGCACTAGAGGAAGTGAAAATGATGCTAGTTTACAAGGTTTTACTCATCATATGAATCCAGGCATGCATCAAAAGCCAACAAAAAAATATTTGCCTGGAAGTGAAAAGTTCGAAGAGGCAACAGGAGAAAAAACTGAATTGGACAAAGATGGGAAGGTGATTGTACATCACATTCACACGCACACACACATTTACAAAGATAAGGAACAAGAAAAGTCTCCAAAGAAGAATGTTATCAATATTTATGGTGCAGAAAATGTAGTGATTGGAGACAAAAATACTGTTGTTGAGGGGGCCACTCCGGCAAGTGCCATGCCATCTGAGAAGGACCCAGAGATGTCAGCAAGCTCCACTAAGACTCCTAGTTGGTAAGCTTTATAAAAACCTTTCGTCACAGATATTGATGTTTTATTCTGCTATGTATTCATTGTAATGAAATAGTTTTAGAGTGTATATTGCCGTTTTTAGACCACCAACATCGGCTAGTTCATTATGCTTGCACTACATTTTGGGAAGAGTAAAAGGCAATGAAGTTACTTGTTACCTTACCTGTCTGAGCTAATGCCAAGGAGCAGTGTCTTGCGTCTTGCATCAACTTTTCCCTGTGACAAACTTCCAGGACCAAAAGTACTGATATTGGGCCAATAGCATGCAGGGCTACCAAAATTAATGATTTATTTTTTTAATTTTTTATTTTGTTGATTTTTTCTTTTCAAGTCTTGTACATTGATATAAATAGTCATTGCAAAACAAGATACATAACATCAAATAATTTTAGTACTGACCTGTTTACAAGTTCATTATTCTTTTTGAGCATAATTTGTTTATTTTCAATAGGAAATGAATCATACTTGGTTAGAATTGTTAGTATAGGATGACAGTTTGACATTATGCATGTATTGACTTTGGCCTCAGGAGCTAGTGGGTGAACCAAAAAAGGGTCAAATTCACTGAAAATTCAAATTTTTTTTCCAATACCCAAATATGGTAGAATTAAATATTCTTCATGGGTGGAGGGTCTTAATGTGCTTTTCCAAAGGTGTATATTTCATGACACAAGAGTCACGTTTTTTCCCCCGGGGAAGGGGTCAAATTTACTATAGATTATATAGGAAAATTACATTTTTGAGCATTATTGAAAATAAGTTAAACTTGGATAGAATGCCTAGTGTAGGATGACAGTTTGATGTTATGCATATAATGACCCTTTCTGACCCTCATTGGCTGATGGGCAGAGCCTAAAATGTCAACTTTCTTCTCAATACCTATATATGGTAGAATCTAATTTTCTTCTTGGATGGAAAGGTCTTAAAATTTATCCCTGTATAAATAGTATTTCTCATTTTCTCTTTTATACAATACACATTCATTCCAATTGTTTTAGTTTGTGAGTTCATTCAGACGACAGTATAAAAGTCACAATCTAAATGACTTTTTCCAATATCCAAGATGCCAATGTAAAAATTAGGGTAAAAAGTCTATACAATAGATAGCTGAGATGAATGGTTATCAAGTGTGTTCAAATGAATGACTTTAACTTATCTTGAGATGGTATGGGCCAAATGTGTATAGAACTCATTAATATAGTGAAGTTGTTCCTTAAGCTGTAATTAAGCCTTTTGCTCCAAAGTTGATGACACTATAAAAATAGGACTTGTGCTACTAAGCAGAATTATCCTACAAACCTGAGACTTTGGTAACCACATTGGAAACTTCTTTTTTGCAATTAATTATTATTACTACTACCCCCTAAATGGGTAATGATGAAGACCAGGGACAGGAATTTAAGGAACTTCTGACTCAAGACTACCAATTAGTTGTGTATTGTCCATAAATTATCATTACTGAAATTTAGACCCTTGTCTACAGTCTTGAAAATCTTCTAACTGCTTCGTATCCTGAACCAATATTAGTATTTAGGCATGGTTTTCATCCATGCATACGTATTATCTACTGATGAAATGAAATTTGTACATGTATGTCCTATTCAAAATGGTTGCCATGGCTGCCATCTTGAAAACTTTGTTGATACTACTTCTCCTGAATCAAAAGTTGTCACAATCAGGGGGGAAAAATTTTTTAAAAATCGTAGTCATCTATAGCAACACAAAATGTTTTAAACCAGTAGAGCACTAATTCTGTCTTATTAGGTTTTAAATAAATTAGATTTCAAACTTTTTTTTTCAATATAAATTACAAGGGCATATATTCTCATCAAAACTCAAAAGAGGTTAAACTATAGCTATGTATTATATGCTACCTTGTTGTGTATACATAGATTGATACAGGTGATGCCAAAGTTATGGTTCAACATTAATATTCATCTGCTTTTCAAACACATTAAATGAATATGTGACATTATGTCACATGTCGTGTAACTTTTCAGTGGTATGGAACACACAAATGTCAAACAAAGCATGCATGTAAGTAAATAAAACCATACTTGATAATTAATAAGACTTTATAATTAGTTATATATAGCCAGGCTTGATTTAGTATACATATTAATACAAAATTAATGTATATCTGAAAAGTATAAGACAGTTGTTTCAAGAAGTCTGCTTGTGATATATTGAGAGAGTATACATGTAATGTGTCAAGGAGGCATTTGTAACTGAAGATCAGTGTACTCTACCAGATTGGTGTTTTAGTTCATAATTAATACATAATCATAACTTGTAACTGTAGCGATTAGTAATATATTGAGGAATTCAATCAAATTTTAAGGAGAGATTGACAATATCAGTAACATACTAAAATAGTGTAGTGTTTGATACACAGCTGTGATCATGGCCAGACATCAGAAACATACTAGGTTTGAATACTGTTTTTTATTTCCTGGTGTCCCATCCTGTCCTGATCCATCATGTCACATTGCATTGTATTGTATCCTGTCCTGATCCATCATGTCACATTGCATTGTATTGTATCCTGTCCTGATCCATCATGTCACATTGCATTGTATTGTATCCTGTCCTGATTCAATGTATGCACCTAGCAACATCATCCTTGTACAGATTTTGGTAAAACTTTATGCCAAGTTTAATTAAGAGTATACTTTGGATATTATTGTGTTTCATTGTCCAAGGTCAGCAGTGCTTTTTATATAGAAAATAGTAATACATAATTTAATTCAAATGCTTAGCAATTTCATTCTTTCATGGACATCGGTCAAACTTTATACAAAGGTCAGTTATGAATAAAGTAAACCTTTGGTCAGTTTGAACAAAAGTAATTAAATATTGTTTGAACCAGGTGACTTTGGATTAATGTTTGTTAAAATCTTGATTAATTTTACAATGATTGGGACAGTCTTTACATGATTAACTTATCAAAATTGATAGTGAAAAAATCTTGTTTTGTATGAAGCAATTTTATGTTTGACCACAAGGCCAGTGTGTAGCATGGTATTTTGAAGCATTGGGAAATTATTTCAGAAATCATTTGTCATCTTTTAGATTTTTTGTTAAATTGTTGAATAGCTAAATAAGCCAGGTGAGCAATGCAGGCCTCTTGTTTTTTAGCCCACCACCATCTGTAAACAGTTTTTGTTATTGCTATTTCTTGAGAAGTACTGGATGGATCTTTCTCAAATTGCATATGTAGGGTCCCCTTGGTCTCTAGTTATGCCCATTTGATTTTGGGACTGATAAGAAAAGGAAATGGCTGACAGGCAGCCATCTTGGATTTTTTCAAATAGATTTGTTATCACTATATCTTCAAAGGGAAGATATGGATCTATCTCAAATTTCATATGTCTGTTCCCCTTGGTCTCCAGTTGTGCCCATGTAATTTTGGGACCAATCAGAAAACCTAAATGGCCAATGCTATTTCTTGGGAAGTACTTGATGATGGATATTTCTTGAATTTCATATGTAGGTTTTGTTTGGTCCCTAGTTGTGCAAGTTTGATTTTGGGTCTGATAAAAAAAATAAAAATGGCCAAAAGGCAGTCATCTCAGATTTTGACATTGCAAGTTTGTTATCGCTATTTCTTGAGAACTACTGTATATATCTTTCTCAAATTTCATATGGAGGTTCTCCTTATTACCTAGTTGTGACCATCTAATTTTGGGACTGATCAGAAAACAAAATGGCCGACAGATGGACATCTAAGAAGTTTGTTATTTCTTTTTCTTGAGAAGTACTTGATTGATCTTTCTTAAATTTCATATATAGGTTCCTTTATATCTCTAGTTGTGCCTGGTTGAGTTTGGCACTGCTCTGAGAATCAAATGGCTAACAGGCAGCCATATTGGATGTTATCGGTATTTCTGAGGAAGTCTTGAACAGAGGTCTCTCAAATTTCAAATCTAAAAGTAAAGATTGTTATTGCTATTTCTTAAGAAATACTGAATGGATGTCAAAATTCATATGTATGTTCCCTTTGATCTCTACTTGTGCTTGTTTGATTTTGGGAAAAAAACAAAATGATGTCCAGGCAGCCATTTTGTATTTGTAAAGATTATCAGTGCTATTTCTGCACAGAAATGTTCAAATATCTTATCATTAAGAGCAAAAACAGAGAAGAGAGAAAAAGGGAAAAGATCCAACTTTCAAAGAGGATATAAAAATCAATGGTGGGCGCCAAGATCCTTCTTGGATCTCTGGTTGAGACAGCTTTTTATCATTCTACCTCACCAGGAGTGTGGTAAAATGAACATATTTTTAAACTCATTCCAAAAATTTGATGATAAAATGGAAAGATTTACTTTATGTATCATACATTTTAATGTTTTATTCATTCATATCAAAGACACAGAAATTTTAACTTTTACATCTTGTTATTGTAGCAATCCTAATGAGAGTCCTTCCTTGTCTAGTCGACAGTCTATGGAGGGTCCTAGTCGACAGTTTATAGATGGTCACCCATCATCGTTTCAGTCATCAGACAATCATGATACAATGACCAAGAAAACGCTTTGTTCTACAAGTGATGAGTCCAATATTGAAGATAATCAGATGGAGACTGATGTAAAGAATGAATCAGAGACTTCCAACAAACATTTAAGTTTACCAGCCAGTAAAACATATTACAACACAACTACAACAGCCTCTTCAAGTTTGCCTTCAACAAATGTGGCTTCATCAGTTCAGTCAAATATCTTACCGATGGTTGCATCAATGAATGTGAATATTTCATCAACAAGTATGACTTCAAATGTTTCATCCACAAGTGTGCCATTAAATATTCCATCAACTGCAACTGTAACTGCAAATATTTCATCGACAAAAGAAAATATATCTACATGTCAACCACAAACACAAAGTATGAAAAGTATGGAAAATATTCCGAATGCAACTGTATCTATGTCCGCTGTTTCATCTACAAACAGAATTCCTGAACATACTGAACCAGTTACATCTGAAACCAATACTCCTGACGCCCCAAGTATTAGAACAGGCTCTGTGACATCATCCAGTGCACAAAACATTTTAACAGTGCCGAAAAGAAACCACCCGCACATAAATCTGCCTAAAAGGCCAATCATTTTTTCGGAGAGTAGAGCAAAGCCGCAAGCTATGGCAAAGGTTATGCCATTACAGAATCAACAGACAAGTAGTTCTGTTGATGATGAATTCAGGAACAACTTTGGAAGTGAATCAGATGATTGCAGTAATATAAATCAGACAGAGCTGAAAGAGGTATATCAAAGTGAAAATACTTCTGTAAAGACACCTGCAGCAACTGAAACAAGAGATCAAGATGAAACCGAAGAGAAACAAGTAGCTAATGTTCTTCCAGTAAGTCGGACAGACTTAGAGCCTGACTGTAGTTACAATAGTGAAACTTCTCCGAAAATCTACAATCATGGAGGTAGGTTCCTTCTTCACAGAAAATGATCATAAAGAGGTTTATTCAGAGATGGGGTAGACAAGTAGTAGTTGTAGACTGATGATATCTTAACACAGGTGGTAGTTGTAGACAGGTGGTAGTTAAAGACAGATGATGGTTAGAGAAAGGTTATAGTTAGAGATAGGTGGAAGCTATAGACAGGTAAAAGTTTTAGACAGGTGATATTAAGTTTATATATTTGTAGTAGTTATAGACAGGCAATATTTGAATACAGACATTTTGCTGTTGTACAAACCTCATAGTTCCCAGGCAGTTGATAATTGTGTTTACCTCCATAATTCATTTCAGGCTTGACAAATGTTGATCAAGATGACCAGGCAGTGTCCAGAGTTTTGGAAATGGGATTTCCAGAAAAAGACATAAAAGCAGCACTGATGTCTCTTCAGAGCCGCGCCCCAGGTATTTTATTTCACTTTTATTATGCTCCCCCAAATTTTCTGGGGTAGCACATAGTTACCACAATGTGGGTCAGTCTCTCTGCCCATTTTTTATGTGTCCGGAGCATAACTTTTCCCACAGTTACATAAGAATCATCAAACTTGGTGTGTACACCATTTACACTGAGTGTTCTTGATTCAAGACCCACAACCATTTATTTACATAGTTATAGCCTGTTAAAATTATATGTCTAGTATATAACTTGGCTTGCTTATGAACTAGGATGATGAAATGTATACATTTGTCAAAGACAATATATATTGTGCCAAATTAAGGGCTTGCAACTCTTTAAACTACTGAGTTGTTGCACTTTACTCGAATTGAAATTTCTAGTCTTTGCTTTTAGTTTTCCTAGGATAATGAAATTTGGTGTATACTTTGGTCACACTAAGTTGATACAGTATATCAAAATAAGGGCCTGCAACCTCTTCATTACAAAACTATTTCCCCTTGTTTAAATTTTGTGTTCAGAGCATAACTAGAATTGAATTGGTGTACATGAATATTGTGTCTTTTTACAGTACAGTTTTTAAAAACAGTTTCAAAGGCTATAATCTTTGAACTCTTGAAAATTTCCATATTAATTTATATTACAATACCAAAATTTAAACACACTTTATATGTAGCCAGTAACATTCATTCCTTATAGCTGACTTGTACATTAAGTATCAGACTGAGTGAGATAAACCCATACTGTCAGAGCTCAAGCATTAGTATGTCTTAAGTCACTAATGCATGTATGTAACATGTTCAAACATTTTTTTATTTCACTTCTAAACTTTCCTTTTCAACACAATTTTACTGAAATGTGTCATGAATATGACAAAATACAAAAATCACAGGAAAAACCTGAAGTATAGTTAGTTATCTTAGGGGTGCATTAGTTAGTACATATACTCTAGCATTGTAAGCTCACCTGCATCAAGGGCATGTTTGTTCAGATGAATGACCTTGACCCTCTTTCAATGTCAAAGGGGTCTAATGATTTAACAGCTTACAATCGCTTTTCAACAAGCAATAGGTCCTGGGTCTTTTGTATAACTGCAGAATAGGTGAGCAATTTAGGCCCATTTGGCCTCTTGTTTTATCTGCTTTGTATGTGTGTAATTTTGATGTGAAAATGTCTATGCATTGGAATTAAGATTATGTCTGACATTTAAGAGGTATGAAGCAATGCAATGCATTGAAAAATACTTGAAAAGATGTTTATTTTAGTTAAGTTTGGAATAAGTCATTAAATCTTGAGTCAAGTTTGGAACAAGTCATTGAAACTTGAGTCAAGTTTGGAATAAGTCATTAAATCTTGAGTCAAGTTTGGAACAAGTCATTGAAACTTGAGTCAAGTTTGGAACAAGTCATTAAATCTTGAGTCAAGTTTGGAACAAGTCATTAAATCTTGAGTCAAGTTTGGAACAAGTCATTGAAACTTGAGTCAAGTTTGGAACAAGTCATTAAATCTTGAGTCAAGTTTGGAACAAGTCATTGAAACTTGAGTCAAGTTTGGAACAAGTCATTGAAACTTGAGTCAAGTTTGGAACAAGTCATTAAATCTTGAGTCAAGTTTGGAACAAGTCATTAAATCTTGAGTCAAGTTTGGAACAAGTCATTAAAACTTGAGTCAAGTTTGGAACAAGTCATTAAATCTTGAGTCAAGTTTGGAACAAGTCATTGAAACTTGAGTCAAGTTTGGAACAAGTCATTGAAACTTGAGTCAAGTTTGGAACAAGTCATTAAATCTTGAGTCAAGTTTGGAACAAGTCATTGAAACTTGAGTCAAGTTTGGAACAAGTCATTGAAACTTGAGTCAAGTTTGGAACAAGTCATTGAAACTTGAGTCAAGTTTGGAACAAGTCATTGAAACTTGAGTCAAGTTTGGAACAAGTCATTAAATCTTGCGTCAAGTTTGGAACAAGTCATTAAATCTTGAGTCAAGTTTGGAACAAGTCATTAAATCTTGAGTCAAGTTTGGAACAAGTCATTAAATCTTGAGTCAAGTTTGGAACAAGTCATTAAATATTGAGTCAAGTTTGGAACAAGTCATTGGAACTTGAGTCAAGTTTGGAACAAGTCATTGAAACTTGAGTCAAGTTTGGAACAAGTCATTAAATCTTGAGTCAAGTTTGGAACCAGTCATTAAATCTTGAGTCAAGTTTGGAACAAGTCATTGAAACTTGAGTCAAGTTTGGAACAAGTCATTGAAACTTGAGTCAAGTTTGGAACAAGTCATTAAATCTTGTGTTAAGTTTGGAACAAGTCATTAAATCTTGAGTCACGTTTGGAATAAGTCATCAGATCTTGAGTCTTACTGCACTTAGGGGCTTTATCTCTTTGATTGACTAATATTTAATTTCTCCTTTATCAGACACATTCAAAATAATTCCACAGCTACATTTTGTCATTTCTCCTCAAAACCTTGTGGTATACAGATGAGGTTTTTTTCCCTTTTAACTCTAGTGCTCCAGATTCGAAATAGGGGATAAACTTGTCTGCAATCATTATAACTATAACTGGAGTCATTCCTCAAGAATGCAAGTCATTCTTCTGTCAGAAATTGTGAGCAAAAATGTATTTACAGGTTGAAAAATATCAATTGATATGAAAACTATTCAGTTTAATGTTAACTTTCCACAGGTCGCAGACACTTTAGTGTTCCAAATCTTCTTGATGAGATGGATAAATTGCAGGAGATGGCTGAGCCTAAATCAAGCCGTGCCAACGACTTAGACACTGGTATGAATTGAGCCCCATATATTGTGTCATTTAGGATGTCTGACAAGGAATTCTAGATATAAATGTATATATATTTTTATCAGAAAGTTTTAATTCTCTGTGTCGGGTACATATATAGAAAAAAAATGTAATGATAAGATTTTGAATTTCCCGGATTTTAACCACTGTGTTAACGACATGATGGATAAGATACATAATGATATGTTCATCACTGTGATTTCTTTATACTATCGACAGTGAGTTGTGTTTTTACTTCATAATTGTTTCTGCAGATCTTGTTTACACACCTGTTTACACACATGGTCCAATCGATACGCGTGGTGTTTTCGTATGACTGCGGTACACCGACTGATCAGCACACAATGTTTATCCACTGAAAACAATTGTTTCTGATAATTACCGATTGATTACACGCCAGGATATATACTGATTTGTGGTTTGACATTAATGCGAGACTGTTGTAAACAGAAACCAGCGTTATAAAAACACAGGACGCCATCTTGAAAAAAACGTTCTTTTATTCTTGTCATCAGTGTTAATTCCTGTGAACATAGCCTTAATACAAACAGAAAAATTTCGACTGGAAGTAAAAAGAGAAAATTCTAACGTTTTTATTTTTTTCCCACAGAATCAAAAATCCACGAATTTATGAGTCCACGAAACTGTCTAATTTGTAGAAACAACGAAAATTGAACCCAACGAAAATAAATGAATCCACAGTACAGTGGAAGCCAGTTATGGCCATTTTTCATCACATGGTTTAGCTAATGATGTGACATTCAATGACAATAGGGAAAATCATGTAAGACGACTACTGAATGAAAGCACTCAGAATTATATACCTGGTATATAGGCACCATGGACCTTGGATAGACTGTTAAATATGGATTATTCGAGTATCTGTGACTCAATATTTCAATACTTTACTATCTAAAAATCAAGCTGCTTAATTATCTTATATTGCAGATAACATGAAAGTTTATGTCTGTTTTCAGATTAAATTTATATTTCAGATGGTCCAACTGATGCTGGTTTTGTGCTACTTAATGAAACATCTTCAAGGCAAGACAGACATGTTGGGCCTCAAGGAAGAAATTTGCCAGCAGACTTTGCTCCAAGGCACAATAGAGGAAGTCCCAACCCTGAAGAGTCTCCTCGTTCTAATGTTTCTTCACCAAATACAGGATCTCCATCCTCCAAGGAAAAGTGCAGAATTTCATGAGGATGTTTGCAACTTTTTGTTTAATAATGTTATAAATGATGTGTCTCAATGTCTTTACTAATCAAAGGTAGACTATCTACCACGTATCTGTTCCTTTCAAAGGAGTACTGTACACAGTGTGATGAGAATAAAGATTTGATATAGAAAAGCAACAATATGTAACCATTGGAGCGGTGTTGAAGTTCATGGAATGATAAGGGAAACTTTGGGCCAGAAGGTTACAGGAAGACAACTACAATATCAGAAACAGACTGAAATCAGAGATATGTATCATGTTGACATTTTATGGAAAATGATCCTTTTAAACAGAAGGAAAATAGAAACAAATTTTCCCAAAATGAGGCAAATTGGAGAAAACTAAGTTTCCCTGCAAGAAATTAACGATTTGTTTTATAAAAAGATACAAGAGAGTTGAAGATGAGTTTGCCAACAAAATGTGTTTACCGAGACATGTTTTCCTGCTTTTCATGTGATTGAGATACCTTGTCATTGATGTGACGAGAAAAAGTGCCATTATGTTTAGTTGGATGCTACATGTATATGACAGATTGTGCTGATTAAAGGATATTACCATGTTCATTTATAGAAACTTAAATGTAAACTCTATACATTTTGAAATATTACATGTATTTCTGAACAATTGCTCTGCTGCATGGTTGAGTGCTAAAACAGCTAAGTGTTTAAATGGCAACATGGCTCACTTTGGTAGAACACTGCATGGATGTTCTCTTCTTTTGTCCTAGACGTGTAGTTTAATAGTGTTGACAAGATGTTTTGTAAAACTGTTATTGATATGAAAATCAGAAAGAGAAGAGGAACATCTCCTGAAGCCCAGGAGTATACTCTGTATTCTCCTAAGCTGCTTGCTCCTCCTGAAGTTGAAAAGCATACTCTACTTTCTGTTGGTCTCTAGTTGTGCCTGTTTGATTTTGGTACTGACCAGAAAAAACAAAATGACCCAAAAGCGGACATGTTGGATTTTGACTAGATCTTTTATTGTCATTGCAATAAGGCTGTAGAACTCCATTATGTCTGTATATTTCATGTTCTGATATGTGGATAGCTACACCTAAGTTGGAATGTTTACAATCTCTGCTTAAAAGAATCAGATTAAATTGAATTTGTTTTCATTGCTTTACGTAAACCAAGGAAATAAAATGCAATGTAATAGAAAGTAGATGAAAGAACTATTTATAGAGTTCTGAAGTGACCTTGTTCTAGGTTTATGAACTGAATATAGAAGTTGGTGAAGTAGAATCCTATAGATGGTCACATCAACTACAACCGCTATACATCGAAAAGGCATTGTCTAGATAAATGTATAAAAACTTTTAAAAAGTTAATGAAGAAATTATTCCATAAATGATTGAAATACAAATATTGCTGTCTTTTTAGCCTGCCATCTGAGGATGGTCACTCAAGTGGCTGACAGGCAGCCACCATGGATTTTGACAATGAAAGTTTGCAACTACTATGTCTTAGGAAGTAATGGATGAATCTTTCTCAATTTTCTGATGGTCCGTTGTTGTGACCATTTGATTTGGGAATAGATGAGAAAAACAAAATTGCCAGTGGGTGACCATCTTGGATTTTGCTGATAATAAAGTTTATTATACCTATTTCTGAAGAGGAATTAAATTTTTTTTTACGTAATTAAAGAGGAAAGAAAAATAAAATAAGGGAAAAGTTTCTACTTTTAATGAACATACAATATAAAAATCATACAATGATGGGTGCTGAGATCCTACTGGGATATATTTTTGCATAATGAAGACAACAAATCAAAGGGGTAGTGAAAACCATGATTTCACTGGGAAATTTTACTGAAAAGGGGAAATATTCTAAAACATGGAAAGACAGAAATTCAGAAAAGTGAAATGTAGTTGTACTCATTTTAAACTTGTTTAAGACCACAGAGAAAAAAATAACTAATTTCATCATGTTGAAATTAATTTAGTTTATTACATTTACCTATCACCTCATTTTTATATATACCTGGTAGCTTATTTAATGGATCTGTACACAGCACATCCTGTGATATATCTGTCCACCACTGTTTGCATTGCCCCCAAACCGAAGATGACATATTTTTATTTGTAGAGCCACAAACACTTATTCCCGACGAAATACATATTAATTTGGTCCGTTCCTGTGTGTCTGTCCGAGGCCTTTTTCAGGTTAATAACTTTAAAACCGTTCAACTCCCCCTTCACAAAAATGGCTGTATATATTAAGTTAGTCTACAATGACAACATTTCCTTTTTCAGTTTTTCTGTTACTAGGGAAACATAGCCAAAAACACAAAATTAGTGTTCATTTTCCTTTACTTTTGTTCACATCAGGGTGGTTAAAAAACTACAAGCAGTCTGGACTGATGTGAGGAGAGAATTTTATTTAAATATTATACCTTTGTAACCAGAACAGCTTCAAGTAAATGTCTTACTGTAGATATTGTTTGTGATGCAACCAGAATTGTTCTTTGTGTTATCTGTAAAACTGCCTACATTTCACTTTGCAACACCATCATGTAAGAACATCACTACAACCTATTTATAAGCTTGTATTCACAGAATTCCAAAATTGTGTTTGCCTTCATTTCCATCATTAGTAAGTACAACTGATGTTTTTAAATGTAGATATTCCCAATTATGCTGAAGTGCTTTAATATGATATTTACTGTACGTATTAGATTTGACCTTCACCCTTTATATATGTACATGTATGTGATATCTTATTCTTTTTGTAAGGTTTACAACAAAGATTTCTTGATAATTTATCAGTGTGAAAAATATTATTACACATTAGTGTGGTTGGACTGTTAGAACAGGAAGTGTTCTCTTGTTTGCTAAATGCACCATGTGTAGCAATAGTAAATTTGAAAAAGAAAAAAAATGTGCTGCAATTTTAGATAAATGTGCTTTCTGCAGAGAATAGGGAACGGAAGTGTCATTTACTTTAATTTTTCTAGTACTCACATGGTTACACAGAATGTTTTTACAACAAAACCAAGAGCAGTTTAATGTGCTTTAATTGGATAGCATTAATTTGCTTGTCAGCACTGACAAATTGTATGAGAGATTCTTATTAATCAAGTGTGTTACAGTTTGGAAAAAATATACAATGCATGTTAATACTACTTTTTCATGCACATATTTACTAACTTTAATGTCTATAAGTTAATTAATGTTTGATTATGTTTTAATTTCCTATTAGATATTTGTGTCCGAATAGAAAATATGTGTCATCTATAGTATAAATATGCAAATGTTTACCTTGTCTGTAGAGAAAAAAATGCTAAACAAAATAAGAACTTTACAAATTGTTTTAATCATTGATACTGATGCTTTCTCTTTTTTCCTCACTTTGAATTCTAGAATATGGTCAGAATGAAATGCCTAGAAGGCATGGTCTATGGTTGCCATAGCTTTGGTAATGCTTATTTTTTTCTTTGTATTTATTGAAATACCTTGTGAGAAATGATTTTTTTTTTACTGATACTTACGATGCTGCTTTTTAATAGTCCATATGATTGATTTGTGTTGATATAACTTAAAATCTACTGCAACTCTCATCAATTATTTACATTTTTAAGCCTGGTAAATATTAGCCACAATATACTGCTGGGTTAGAAATTTTCACTTATCTTGATTAGTAAAGGGTAAGAGTCTAGTAAAGCCAGTAGTTCGGGGTTTGATCCTTGGCACAGGCAATGAAATAAGTTATGTCTCTGTAATTCATGTTTGATAGCAAGCAGGCAGGGAATCCCTAACTCATGAGTCTACGCCAAATAGGAAGTGGGAGGGCAAAGAGGAAATACTTGGATTAATGAGTCGGGGAATCCCTAACTCGTAAATCCATGTTTAATAGCAAGCAGGCAAACAGACAGGGAATCCCTAACTCATAAATCCATGTTTAATAGCAAGCAGGCAAACAGACAGGGAATCCCTAACTCATAAATCCATGTTTAATAGCAAACAGACAGGGAATCCCTAACTCATAAATCCAAGTTTAATAACAAGCAGACAGGGAGTTCCTAACTCCTGAATCCATGCCAAATCACTGGCAGGCAGGCAGTGATATTCCTAATTGTGTGAAACCTCTCTAATAAATGCAGTCAGGCTGGCTGACCTGTTGTGGAAAGCACTCTGTCAGCCAGGAAAATGTTTTAATTTACAATAAATGGATTATATATTCTTAGCCATATTACTGCTGCCACAGCTATTGTCTCCTATAGTAGTTATGGAAAGTCCAGAAAGAATACATTGGGAATTTCAAAAAAGATGATTATAGTAAAATATGAACTTCCTCATTCAGCTAAGTTGTTCTTACTCCTCAGTGAGGGCCTTAATGATAGAGTCGTTATGTATCTCAAAACTGATATATATCTTGTGTTTGTTAAATAAAATGGCTTGAAAAAAGAAATGTTGGGGCTTGCAACGTCACATTGTACATAACATATTTTTGATTAACTGTGATTTTTAAAAACTTGTACAAACAGAAGTAAAAATTTCCAGGCAATGTGATGGGAGTCTATTGTCGAGTGTGTTTTGTACAGTTAAATTGTTTTCTTTTTGGAACACCTATATTTAGATCATATTTCTGGGAACTGTAAACATGCTTTTGCCTGCAAGCTCCACTTTTAATGTGTACAGAAATGGAAAGAGACATAGTCTATAAATGTGATTGTGGTGTGTGTAAATTGCATGTATCACATATCTCCAAATAAAAAAGAAAAAAGAAGACTTTTGTGTTCGTTAGGTCATATCACCCAAAAGGTCAAGATGATCAATTGCTATATGCATCATCTGCCATCGTACACCATCCATAAACTTTTCTTAGAAAACAGTACTCCTGCTTAATGCCAGGGCAGATTTCCACCTGGTTTAGCCTGAAACATAACTGGGGGTAGGGAATTATTTCTTCGATTCAGAGTGTTAATTCGACCATGAGGGATTTGGCCCCAAAAGGGTAGTTTGACAATACTTTGTTTCAAAATGCTTCTCTTCCTTAATACTTTGGTGGATTTTATGCAAATTTTGTCATTATTATCATTAGGGGTTGGCAAAGAATTCTTAAATACAGAAAGTTTATTTGACTCCAAGGGACCTGGGGGTGGACACGTCCCAAATGGGAAAGTTAGTTGATATTTTGCTTTGAAAGACTTCTCCTTCTTAATGCCTGGGTAGATTTCAACCTAATCTTGTTTGCTTTGGTCCAAAACCCAACATAACACGTCTACAACAAAAAGTCTGATCTACTTCTCAAGTTTCATTCACACCAATGAAAAAAAGTTTGATTTGTTAAGGAAAAGAGAGAGATGATTTATTATTTTTCAGTCTGGTCATAACTTCAACATAGTATCCACAGTAGTCATTTCGTAACATGATTGTGCAACTGTTTTTCATGAACAGAACCTTACCATTTATGAGTTTCTGAAAATTTCTAGGAATGTTCAAAATTTGAATCCATCAGATTTGTCAGACCACCATCAGCAAATTCTGAGGTTTGTTCATCTGTTCATCGATTGTCAGATGACCGGTAAGGGCCATGGCCCTCTTCTTTTTTTCAACAACCAGTTTTTCAGTCCACTTCACCACTTTCCCACTAATGATAATGATTCATTGTATCTTCCATGAATTTCACACAATAGGATTACATACAGTTTGTTACTGTGAGGGACCACCCATGTCTTAAATTTCGACTTAATTTTTATCGCTGTATTAAGAAAAATATCCAATGACAGCTCAACAGGGTATATAGGAATGTTTCCCAAACATCTCACAAAATTTTACACCGTCGATAGAAGACAAAATTATCAGAACCGGCACTGCTAAAGGTATTCTAATAGTTTGACTTAATCTCATTTCAACAGATACGTTATCTAATGACCAAAACATGTTATTAAATCACTAATTAGTGAGTTCTACTGGGTATGGACATGTAAATATTGAATACTAGTATAGTTACCACACTTCTTGCACAATTCTTTTGTCCGTCGTCTGATACCGCCGACCAGATGCTGGAGCTTGTTCTAAAGAAACCTCTGCCAATCCTGAATGTTTTGTATTTTGGATTCCTTGTATTGATGTTTTGCCAATGATAGTCCTTCACATGCTTAATTGGGTTCATGTGTGGTGACATTTCAGGCCATAGGAGTGTCTCTATCACGTCAGGTTATAGTGTTGCACTAAGCGGGCTCTGTGTGGTTTGGTATTGTCATCCATTAGGATAGGCCGAACTGCCAATGGATGGCCATCGGAATGCGGATCACCTAAAAAAGCCAATAGATCTGATCACGTTACGTTTGCTTATTTAAAGTTCGACCAAGGACATGAAAGCGAAGCTTTGGGTTTGGAGAAAAGCATCCCCAAAAGTTGTTTCGCTAAGAATGTGATAACAATAGTATGCTGTATTTCTTGGTCTCCCATCACAGTCTGTCATCTGTTGGCACCGGTCATGGGAATCCACGGCAGCAATGTTGCATTCTTAAATATCAACAGTGTTAACAACATTAAAACGATCATACTAATGAGCATCAAACATTTCTAATTTTTTCACCCAGCTGTGTCTCCTGCAGTACGCAAAAGGAACATCATTATTCTAGAATGTTATTTGCAGAACTCTTCCTCCTCAAGAATCTCCTTTTAACAACAGGCCATTTAGGTCTGTGGTTACTGGAGATCTCATCATTTTTATGCTCACTGTATATAGTCGCCACTTTGTCGGTTGGTCTGTCCGTCCGTCATTATTTTGTCCGTAGCATATCACAAAAACTGTAAGAGGTATCAACATGAAACTTACTAGGTAGATAGATCTCGATAATGAGACTTGCCGTGTACAAGAACCACAACTCTCTTTTGAATGATATAGGAGTTATTGCCTTTTGTTATTTTTCATACTTAAAATTTTGCCAAAATCAGCCCTTTTGGAACTAGTGTTAATTTGGGAGCATCCATCGGTTCTAGCGATTCTCTTGTTTAACACGTTAAGATATGAGAAAACATTTCATGAAGGTTCCTGGTATTTAGAGACATCTGCCATTGATTTGAACATCAACTTAAGCATAATCTACACTCAAATTCAATACAACTATGGCAAAATATAAACAAAAGAAAAATTAATACACAGATTCCTGAAAAAATACAAGAAGAACAAGACCAAGTGTTCTGGAGGAGTAAGCATCTTCTGCTTCATCGATAAACGCAACATAAAACTTGGTCAAATCAAGTAAGTAATGCCACATTCTAAAATGAGAACAAGATATATAACAACGTAACAAACAGGCGAACTAACGAGCAACTTACACGTCTAGCTCCATATTGACGTCCCCCCACCCCAAAACAAAATCAAAGAGGAAAAAAAACAAAACAAAAAGGAAACGGAATATTTCCTTTAAAAAAAACTTCCTGTAATTTTATCAACCTCTATCTTTTGAATCTCAGTGTTATGAGTTTGCCTTTCAGTTGACGACTTCTTGCACGAAAATCGTGATCATTTGAACAGGCCTTTGAATATCAAATTAATTCGGACACGTAAACAACATAGGCTAGGGATACAGGAATGTTACTATCCAGAAACGGAAATTGAAATCATTCCGCTTATCATACAGCTCGATGGAAAACTGTTCATGTTGGTTTCATTGTAGGGAGTGGTCGAAATAAGCAACTTGTGTAGAAGAGTATGCCATGTCTTTGATTTCTAATTCTGGATGGTCAAAACTCTTTGGATGTCTTTAAAACCACGTGCGATATGAAGATACACTTTGTGTAGGAACTCATTAGACTCTTTTCATGTTAGTCTTTTACCACGTCCGGCTCTGTGATTAGAATCCTCTTAGTCACGTGACACCCGACATTCCTCGGCTTTTGTTTACTACAACAACATGGCAAGTGACGTCTCCATTGTAAGAGGCGTGGCCTCCGGCGCTGACTAGCTATGTAAGCCAGGTGTTAACCCAAGTTCTGAGCCTGGGTCTCCAGTGGTTTAGAAAATAAAACTAGGAGTCACATTCAGCAAATAACAAGTTTATTAACATATATAAACTTAACAGAGCCCTACACATGACCGGCTGTCATTAGGACACACGAGCACGCACACACAGAACGAGACAGACACAACGACGGAAGGGTCAGCCGGAGCTTCTCACGGACATATTGACATTACCTGACGAATGGACTTACCAACACATACGGACAGAAGACAAACAACCTCCCACCAGTGGCACGACGAGACGAAGACGGCTGAACGTGTGTGCTACTACTAACTCCCGAATGCACGTGTGTTACCTGTATTTATGTGGGCACGGTGCCCAATGAGAATAAGGGTTACATCATGCACACATGCCGTCAGCCAATCAGCGTCTAGCTTAAATATAACTACAACCCTCCCCGGAATTTAACACGGAAGTTTACAACATGGAGGACACAGTGACAACAGACCCAGTCCCAATGACAGCAATCCATAGTACAGATATATAAAACAGGTAGTATCCTAACAGTACCCAATCATCCACACCATAAACACATACCCACATTCACTCAACTACACGACCGGCCGGTATTACTATACACATGACACACTGTCAGACACAACTTTTACACTATCATGAAAGCCACAGCTACAGCGCTATCTGAAAATCACAGGTATTTCCCACAGGCACTCGAGGCCAGGATATTATTTTTTAAACATTGATTTTTGTTTTAGCACTCATGACTGACGTTATTTAAACGAAATATCAGCAGAATTCAAGTTTATGAGCCGGTTGACAAATCCGAGGTCCACGGTCATTAAATCTTGAATTCTGCTGATATTTCGTTTAAATAACGTCAGTCATGAGTGCTAAAACAAAAATCAATGTTTAAAAAATAATATCCTGGCCTCGAGTGCCTGTGGTATTTCCACCACAAATTTAAACAAGCCGCTTATTTGTTAGAAAAATTGCTTACATCATTGCAAATATGAAAACCGAAATTTTGCCAGATTATTTTCAAACAAGATTTTATTGTATGCCCGGCTTGGTAGTATTCCGGACTTTTGTTTTGCAATCTTCCAACTGCCAATCTTTGGAGATTTAACTGAATGATATTTTGGTCGGGTTTCAGTGGTTATGAACAAATCCAATATTTTACAGAAATACAACTATGTTTGTAGGCAAGTATAATTTAAGTTATAATATGACTTATCTGCTTACACAAGGGTTGATAAAACAAATCCTGGTTCCTCCGGAATGTAGAATTAGCGTCTTGTTTCGTTTTCATATTGGTCTATACAAGGACAGCTGCTTTAAAAGACATATCCACTTGGAGCAGACACTGCATGTTCTCGTTTTTAACTCTATTTGACGTAGTTTTTTTTTCATCAGTATGTTTGAATCCTTAGAGGTTTTATAAATTTTACAAAAACACTCCCTTTAATTTTTCTGCATAGGCCGTAGTAAAATTTCCGACTGAATGCTAATTTGTCATATCATATTCCTTCAAAGGAATATGTCACCTGCATGCTACGATTTGATTGAGATTTAGACATGGGAAGCATATACAGTGTCACCGACGATAATGTTATAAATCACCTAAAACACATCAAAGGCAATTGTATGTCATAATGCATGATATGTAATTAAGTACAGTGGCTCTATAATTCCTGAAAGTAATTGTTTAATAATATTCATTTGGCGATAAAAAATTGAATTATGATTGGCACGAATACTAATAATCTAGGCAATCATAATTCTGGTAAACACTGGTCGCAATATACTGCTCGGCTAGAGAGAACTTCTTTTGAGCTCGTTCGGTTGAACGTCAATCTAGTAAACCAAAAGTCTCGGGTACGAAGTGAAGGCATTGGGTTAAAATGACTCGGGACTATTACTAAGCATTGTCTCACATACAATGTTGTAACCCTTGGACAAGTTCTTTCTTGGAGGCGGATTATGTAACCATGATAAATACTAGATGCATCTCTTTAACTCGATCTGTGGAGCGTCAGACTAGTAAACCATAGGTCACGGGTTCGAATCCTAGCGGATTCGAATAATTAATTATCTTTCGTGCTATAATCCATCTGTTCAGTCACAGTTATCATTCCGTTCAATGCTTGTTTTATAAACACAAGGGCGACAGCAGTATAAAATAATTTCTTCTATTAATTGTTCAATATACTTCAAAGTGTTACTATTTGATCGCAGCTGCTTTCGTTACAGAAACAAAAGCAGTAGAAACCGAAATATCGCACCAACAGGAAAGAAATCGATCGATTTTCTCTTTTGCTTTCTTTGGTACGTCTATAGCTCCTGGTGCGTCACCACTGTAATTCTGTTTGTGTTTTACTTTGCCTTTAACTTATTAAATATATATCATACAAACGACTTTAGAATAATTCACCTGAAACATTCCCGAAACCACAGAATGTCACTCCACCGATTAATTTGACTCAGCATTTCTTCCCTCTAAAAATAATAATATTCATCGCATTGTGCTGATTCATTTTAAATTTAGATTGAAAAAAAAACCCGAATAATTGGGGAAAATATCGCGTCAAGTGTCTGTTCCTTTGTGGTAAGTCAAATGGATAATTTTAAACCCAATGAAACTGGTATATTACACACATCCTAGATACATTACTAATATCAAATATTACACTGCGTAATAATCGGTAGAATGTTGTGTGGTCTATTCATTTCAGGTACTTACATGGATGATCGAATCTGTAAATCTATAATTGATTAGAAGGAAGGAAGTGGGCTGTATTCCTACATTGTATGATTGTATCGACTTGTTTTAACAGCTGTCATATTTTCAATGAAAGGGAGAGAATTCCAGATGTGCTGGAATGACATTGACCTACAAGTGAGTGTGTACCTCCGACTGCACTTAGACAAACCAAACATGCGTGAATAAGGTCATGACAAACGTTTTACATATCAGCTGTGGGACAATGCAGGTATATTTAAATTTCACTTTAACCGCCGCGTGTTTAAATACACACTGGCATTTCAAGGATTGGCTGTGATAGACTCAATGTTATAGAGAACATGGATACCGGAACCAACCAAGACTGTCTGACTGGTGCTATATGGTCCTGTCGTCTGGAGGACAGAAATTCGATGATATCCAAACTAATAGGTTAGATGACATTGTATTGGTCATGTCGTCCATATCGCGAGGCATGTTTCACTCACAGGAGCTGAGACAACACGTGTTTATATCCCGTCCAGGTGAGTATATGTGTGATATGGTTTATTTGTGGCATAATGTATACATAAACAACACTAAACATATATGTATCTTTGATTAAGGTATATATATGTTAGCCTCGAAGCAGATTTAAAGAATTGTATAGTTTATTTATAATATGTCAACGATATAATTGCTGAAGAAGAATGATGTTTTCTATATCCTCGGTAGTATCCAAGCTAATTCCAACATAAGATTGATGGAATACTTAAGACAGTTTTCTAATTTGCCATACTAAGTACTGAATACACGAAAATCACATAGAAAATCCTAAGTTGCAAATAGTGAATGTCTTGTATATAGATATAAATTGTGTGGTTGATAGAGACCACTGGTAAGTACGACATTTACAGGTAACGTGTATATATGTGTATATATATATATGTGTGTGTTAAAATGTTAGAAATGCACCAAATCAACGATATGCATGACAGGTGTGTAATTCTGCATATGTACACAGCATACTTTGTGTAGGGTTCTGTCAACCAGTGAGTGATCATAACAGTTCTATGATATAAAGCATTCAGCAGAATGAATACAGTGCACAATGCATGATAACCGGTTTCCTGTTTCTTTAAACCGTGTAGCATGACATGTCGATGTAAACAGATAGCTGTAGGTTAGTCATAATACACATTATCATATATGATGGGATGGGTATGTAAAGCTTATCTGTATGTACAGCCAGATGTAGTCATTTCACAACAAACGGATACGATTTAGGCTTCTCTTAAAAACAGTAAAATGAAATGTGTTTATTACAGAATGGATTAAAGTCTAGAGGTAGTTAACTTTTACAAATAACATAAAACTTCAAAATACAGTTTAAAACATGTTTTATGAACACAAATGCTCAACATGGTTTTTCGTTAAAATGTTGTGTTTATATAGATATATTACAGAAATACACTTATTACAACAGGTGTACAGTGTCTTATGCGATTCCTGACATGCGCATTCCTTTAAAGATGTACATATTGTGAAAGTGAAGGCATGTTTTATTATCCATGGTCAGAGAACACTTAAATCCGCTGATCACTTTTAAAAAAATACCTATTTTAAAAAAACTATGATATCATACATGTCACATATTTGATTAAACAAAAGCAAAATAAATCAATATTTCTTAATGAAACAGCAATATAATATGGCCGGGATCATGACATGAAATCATTAATACTGCAGGATGAGTGTTAGAGGAACTGTTATAGCTCTGTATGAAAACATCGATAATACCCTAAAGCGCTTGTACTGGGAGTAACGAGCTAGCAGGACCTGTATTATTGCATTGAACAAAGGGATGCTTTCACGAAGAACATGTGCCTGCTGCAAGGTTAGAGAGCTTTACAGCAGCATGTATCAGATAGGATAATAAAATGTATATTTTTCCTGTGATGAAATGCGCATTGTCTCATCATTACTTCATTTACGTCAACAAACAAAATGTTAACAAAATTAGTACATTTGTTTTCCGTCGATTACACCTGTAGCTGTTAAAAGTTAAAACGTAATTGAAGTATGATTAAAATTATACAATTTATTGTTAAAAATCAACTGAATGCAAATTCTGCCCTCTTGCGTTAAAGTACACGTTTTACTACTGGCCTTGCCGTCTACCCGAGTCTTTAATGTCGCAATCAATTTTATATTAAACGCTTGTGCTGGTTGCCATCAAGATATCATTTTGAAATATTCACTTTTCAAGTTTTCACATTTCTAGAACATGACAGTTGTCAGATATTAACCTAGATTTACACAGCGAAACATCTTTATTTTCTTATCATGATATTGACATAGATCCATGGTTAAAGTTCAGTAATATTTAGGACATGTTGTTCTCACTATCATTAAACAAGAACATTTCTTCGAGGTAGAAATTCAAATATCGACGAATCAGAATCCGGTATCCCTCTATCGAAATTAAACAATAAATGAAATTTCACCAATCGAAGACCGAGTCGGCCATCTTGAACGTTTAACGCATGAGTGGAAACTCGCGACAAGTTTCATTAAAATTAATTGACGAGAAAAGGGTCGGACAATACATAATTAAAAACAGAGTAATAGATAGCATCATCGAACAGAGAGTGACGAAAGGACGATCATCAACAGTCCTTACGTCTATTTTCAGGTTTTTATCAGCATCTGGTGAATTTCAAGTAATTTTCTTCTTGAAACAAATAAACCACATTTCATACAAATAGACAAGAGAAATTTTATCTGTAATAGTCACAGATTGTTATACATCCGAAAATAGTTGATTAAATTGAGCATGGGGTTTTCGATTTCCTGTAAAATCACACATGTAAAACACCTGTACAAAAATATGCTTTTGACGTGATAACATGTTTGTACAATATGATGTTGGGCGTCAGCATACCATATATTACATCAATTTTAACAATATATATATATATATATATATATATATATATATAACTTAAGTAGGGATGGGAAGTTACAAAAGAGTGATTCACGTAGGAAGCGTTTAAATGTTTATTGCGTGGAGGTAAAGTGGCCATTGAAAACGCGGAGGTGTTAGTTTCATAAAATACAACTTATATACATGTATTGGTATACCACACATTGACAGACCCACGTGTCGGAAGTACACATTTGAATCTGATGCAGTATGATGTTCTAGCCAGGTATGGATACGTTCGCTAGATACACAGGTAGGGTAATAATTTAGCCAAACATTTCAAAATAAGTAACTGTCGCAGATTTCATTTATTAACGTTTTTAGTTTTACATTTTCTGAATTCCATATATGTTAATATATTTGAATGATCTTTTTGTGCAACAAGTACATGTATGATTGTATGCCTTTACTAACCACTTGCTTACGTCATAAGTTGTTGAAGTATGCAATAATAAGGATTTACAGATTAAGTATATACAATCGAGGGGTTTTAATCTCGTGACTTTTCAAATGAACAATATTTCAGGGACACGTGATTTCACAGGTACTCGGAAAATTCTACTTCAAACTCGTGTCAAATTTTACTCAGTGAATCGTTAACAGATAGCTTTGTTGTGGTGCCTTAAGTGATGTTTATTAATTTTCCCCATTTATTTTTGTTTTTGTTTTGGTATTTTGTGTATCTTACCCTAGATATGGAGAGTTATTCGCAATTTCTACATAGACAGAAATGTAGTTGAACATCAATTCCATTTATGACTGGCAGTAAACATGTTGTGACTCACAGTGATCAAAAGCTTCATTAGAAAACGGAATACTTGTAATCAGATTCCTTAGTATTATACACAATGAATGAATGTTGCTTTTACCTAATATCAATATTAATTTATATTTCTTGCTTATTACAAATAGAAAAAAAAATGTAAATTAACTCTGTGTCTACATTGGCTGGTTTTGACATTTGTGCATAAGTTGGTAAAAGAGAGGAATCGAAAGATGTGCACTCTGTTATTAAAAACTAATAGAAAATGCCCACATGTAAACCTAATTAGAATCCAATCTCAAAGTCAATAAAACTAGGACAAAATAGGAACAAAAGAAAGATTTACATAAAGACTCGTGAAAAAGTGAGGTGAATAAGTCCATGTATTCCGGAAGAGTAAGCGTCTTCTGCTTCATCGACGACACCCGTCATGTAAACCTTGATCAATCCAAGTAAGTAATGTCACGTTCTCAAATGAGAACAAGGTATACAACAACGGACACAATAAGCAAACTAACGAACACCAAACCCTACATTATTTCGCCCTTTCATGATTCTTAAGTTGTAACAAATATTCCTGCCATGCTGGTATTGATACATAGCCTTCAATAAAGTATTTGTGAACATAACAGCTAAAGAAGACCTTTTTCTCGTTACTTTCTAAACTCTACATAAATTGTGTGATGACGTAAGTGTAACCACATAAAGAAACATAAATAGTTAAATCGTAACGTAAATCCGACACAATAGCAAACAAATCATTGTAACCGGACACAATAATTACCAATTACTACTGGCTCAAACGTTACAGAGAAAACAGCTAAAACCTACTTATTTATGTGAGAGCGCATGGTCCACTATTCTAAATTCACTTGATCAAGTTTTTGCTTAACCACAGGTAAGGATACATTTTTCTCTGTAAGTAGCACGTATAAGGAATTGTTACAATGAAATTATAATTTACATTACTTCATTACGTCTTTAAACGATGTTAGTAATAATAATAAAAAAATCAGATTCTCGAATTACTGTACATAAGTATAAGTTGAGTTTGAAATAGTAATCGGACGCACCATATTATAAAAAACCAGGTAGACGTGATTTGATTTATGAACCCTTGCCAAGTATTTTCACTGCCACAAATGCAAATTGTTTGTTCATGATAATGTCAAATACATTCACATGGAAATAACTTCTGATTTTATCTTTCTCAGTATGAATTTGAAATACACCGTAACGTGTCAAAATCCGTACGTACATGTGTGTATTAAAATGTAAACCAATCCAAAATGCATATCGTAATAATAGTTCATTTTTTTGTTTGACTATTAATATACATCGCACCTCACATTGATATACAAATAACAGAATGCATATAATTAACTCTGATTTGAGTTACACGTTATTTATGAGTCAGATCAGTAAAGGTAATAAGTTGTCTTACACGCCCTCAGACATAGAGACATGTATTCTTCAATACGTTACTAGCGTGAGAATCAAATGCCAACGTGATATGCAGTTTCCTATATAAATTAAAGCGAACTCTTCCTTGTTACAAGAATAACACCGACATACCAACGAAATCAAATTCAAACTCAGAACCGATAAAACAAAGGCAAAATATGTAGAAAACATGAAAACATTTGAAAAAGTGCGATTATTAGACCAAGTGTTCATGAAACGTCTTCGACAACACCCGCCTTGTAAAGTTTTGCCAATCCATGAACGTAAATGTCACCTTCCTAAATGAGAACACGGTCTATAAGATCAACCACACCCCTCCGACCACCGAACAA